TGCCTTTTTCCTCAACCAACCAGCCATGTTTTAATGTAAGACTTACAAACTTGATTCAATTCAAGGAGTATGAATGTAATGTAGTTGTATTAAATAAACTACCGGTTGCAGCAATTCCAAATATTTCAATTGGTTTCTTTTCTTCTTGATGCAATCCGAGCTACCTTGACTTGGTGGTGGGATGGATGAGATGATTAATTAGTGAGTGAGTGAGTGAGTTATGTAGCAGTTGGTTGGTTCGGTTCAGGAATCTCGGTTTCTCAATCTATAAAATGAAGAATTTATAAAATAAAAGATGTAGGTTGGAAGGATTTACCGACGATTTAGTGGCCGCGGAAGGTGTGGGGACGTTAATTTTGTAGGATCGGGGTTTATATAAGATGATGCCGACATCCAACAACCGTGGGGACATTGTTCCGCGGGCAGTGCCGACCGATACACATTTTTCTAGTCGAGAGTATGAAAAATATTTCCTTCCCTTCATTCAAATTTACTTCATTCATCCAAAATCCGCTGACTTTTGACTCGGGATTAACGGTCCACCTAATTTTTGGCTCAAGATAAGATAAGCCAGAAGAATTAATAAGGTGACTAACTAATTACGACTTTTCCATTCAATTCGTCCACCTATTTTCGTCCACCGAGCTGATAACGTTCATTTTCTGCTGACCAATTCAATTTTCTTCTTCTTCTTTCCCTGAGATTAAAGTGCACGAGGTGATGAAGCAATTCTACCACCACCATCTTGCAGCAAATTTGCGACAAGCCAAGCCAGACGAGGAGACCATAGCTGCATAGTCAGTAATTATATCATTTCTTCTCCGTGGCAAATATGGTGGTTTGGTTACCGTACAGAAAACTGCCATTATTTCACTACTCAGAGGAAGGAGGAACAACATGCAAACGGCATATCGTCCAATATGGATGGTGAACTATATATTTTATTAAGAAAATAAGAGACTCGTTTCTTCTTGGCGATGGATGGATGGTGGACGTGAGATGAGATTGGATTCTTGCAATGGGTGGTTGCCTTCTACTTACGCCATGCCATCCACCAAATCTTACTTCTTCTTCTGAGGAGGAGGAGGTCCTGATGATGATCAAGTTAAGAAAGTATGAATGAATGAATGACCAACTACCAAACCAAACCACCACCACTGCTTAAATAAAATGAATGAATATCATCATCTCTTCAACCAACCAATTTCAACTCACTCGCCAGGTCAAATAGCATGCGTTTTAAAGCATACATTTGATCATCAAATAAATTCGCTTACTGTAGATGGATGGATGGATGAGAGCTTATCATCTAAAGTAGAGAACTCACATCACTTATTCTTAAAATGTGACATTTTTTCCTCCTTCTTCTCCAATTTCTCATCATAAGTACATAAAACATCTCCAATTAAATTTGTATGTATGACTTGGCAAAAATGCAGAGTTTGCTCGTTAATTGATTGATTGGAGACGGTAAGCTAACCTAAACTGCTCCAGTTTTTTTTTTGCAAGTAATTTAAGATTTTGATATGGATGTAAAAAGATCCAAATATTTTTTCCCAAGCTAAAAAACACAACGTCACACACACGGACGGAATGAGTGACACGATGACAGTGAAATATTTATGTACATACATTGAATGGTTCGAGTTTTGTTTGTGCAAATAATTTTTACTGATGACGCTTTAAAGGAATTGTGATTCATTTCATTTAATAATTTTTGTACTAAAGTGAAGGGAACTGAAGTTACATAAGAAGACGAAAACAACACAAATTATTAGCGTGTTATTTTTTTATCTTATCATCATCACGGTTGTTTTGTCTACAAAAGTTTTATTACTCACGGCGACGACGAAAAGATGACGAGTCCGTCGTCATTCGTCTAGGAAGGAATTGATCTTTTCGACAGTTTCGTCGTCAATAAGTAAATTATTATTTGCATGGTTCGTTGTTCTAGGAAAAAGATTATTATTATTGTGCTTTTTTTATTTGTTTGTGTTTAAAAAACAGTCTGTTTACTTTACACGTGTCGCAGTAAAGTTTGAAATTTTGAGTGGTTTCCCATTTCAACTTTTTATATTCTCTTGTTGGACAACAAAGGTATTAAAAGTGTGGCTCAATTTGCAAAAAAAGTGTCGAATTATATTTTACTATTGGCCATTAAACGTGTTGCTGTTCTCCATTCTTGGCATATTTTGGGGTGGCTGGTGGGAGGAGACATGAAACGGATGAGTGACACTGCACGAATATTATTTTATTGCCTATTTACTGAAATGTAAGGAGATGTACGTACATCATTTTTTTTTCGAGTCGCGCAAATAATAAAAGTTAATGTGCAATTATTTAACTCTGGGTTCGGTACAGGCACAATTAAGCGGATTTTTTTTTGTTCACGAGTTTAAATCAGCTTTAAACGAAATAATTGGGAATGGTTTGACCTTTAAGAGAATCAAGTGAGCTGATTTATTATGTAGGAGATGAATGAGATGGTGGCGATCCTCTCGAAACAGTGGCCGCGGAAGGTGTGGGGACATTAGGATAGGGGTGGGCCGGGTTTATATAAGATGATGCCGACATCGAACAACCGTGGGGACATTGTCCCCTCACCCTTCCGCGGCCAACGACGTATCCGACCGTAGATTTGATTTGGTTCAAAGTCCAGTCTGATTTTTTTTTCGTCTTGTACTTTACCGATCTCCTCCCACTAAATCCTCCCTCCTAGATTGGATTGGTACACATATTTATTTCTGCATAATAAATATTACTTACACGGTCTTTCTCTCTCTCCCTCTTCTTCGGAGTGCATTGTTAATATTAAAGCCGCAATTTTTATGTATGTTTGTTAACTAAAGTTTTAGTAACTAAACTAACTTTAACTATTTCAACGAGACATAATAGTTTGACTTGCCTTGATCTTGTGTAAGGATTGGATGGATGAATTGTAGTTAGTTGATGATGAGTGGTGCTTGGCTATTGTACTTATTTACTGTGGGATATATATTATATTCATTTGATGAGTCGTACTAGCGAAATAAATAAATGGGAACTCCATCCAATCCAATTCATGCAGAGAACAGAGAGAGGAAAAAAATAAGCTTAAAAGTCTCTCTCAGTTTTAGTAGTTAGTTAGTTAGTTAGTTAGTTACATATTTTAAAGCCATCCTCCTGCGATTCTCTCCTCTCATTCATTCGGTTGAGCTGCAGCAAAGCAGGCAGTATTTTTTTTATTGTTATTTCGCGTCGACGTCACATCCTCTCGAACTGGGAGAGCAATTCTCATCTAATCCCGTGATACAGGAGCACAGTACGTATTATTATTACGTAAATATGTATCTCTGGTTTGAATGGTGGCTGAAATGTATCTCACACCGGATGTTTCCTAAATTTAATTTAATGAGATAACTAACTTGATATTTCATTTCTGCCATGTAAGGTATTTAAGAGGAGTAAGTTGCCGTTCGTTCAGTTTGTACAGTACGTAGCTACATGTGTACAGTACATACATACATAGATTGCTGAAATTTGATGCACAATATCATTACATTACATTACGCAAACAATGGGTGGTACTTACTTGGAGAGAAAAGCTTGGATTTATTTTTTAGCCGTGGAAGGAAAGAAAGAAAAAGAGTTGCAGGATGTATGAAATGGTATCCTCTTCTTGTTCTTGGTGATGAATTCTTCTCAAGCAGTGGCCGCGGAAGGTGTGGGGACGAGGGGGGAAGGGGGATGGGTTTGTATAAGATGGGGAGATGATCGAACAACTGTGGGGACATTGTCCACACCCCCTTCCGCGGCCACTGTTCTTAGGAATCTTTATACACTGTAAAAGATAAAATGCATGGTGCAGACTTTGCTTAGTTAAGTTGTATGTATGTGTTTTTAACTATTTTTTTCTTTAAATGTGAGGCTGCTGCTGCTGCTGTCTTTGTCTTTAAAGTGGTGGTTTGTATGTGTGAGTACCTGCTATATCCGCTCTCATTCATTTCATTGGATTTCGTACAAAGAATTAAATTACGAATCAACATAACAACAAACAACAATAAATAACTAACCATCATGTACGTATGTACCTCTTGGTTGGTTTTGCATGCATGCATTCATTTATTTATTCGAGAGTAGTGAGTGCATCACCGCGTCTGACATGTTTTGTTTCACCCTTTATAATAATAATAATAATGCTGCGAACGACTACGACTACGACGACGACGACGACCATTCATTTGTGGCGATGCCTTAAGAAAAAAAAGTGTTATAAGTAACTTACCTAACTGCTATTTATTATATTACTCATTCACTCTGGTTGGTGTTATATTTCCCGTGCCAAAAAAGAAAGATTAGCTGCGACGCACATCTGCTGCTGGTGGCAGAGATTAAGTTTTCTTCTTCTGGTAAACAAACACATTTGGTTTTTGGACAGTTTTTTTTCAAAGAAAAAAAATAAGTCGTCCAGGTTGGGGTTTGGTTTGGTTATTATATTACTATTGTTATCGTAGATATTTATATGTTATTTTTTTGGTTGGGTGGATAAGTAGAAAGAAAGAAATGCATAATATTGCATATGGATGGAGGAGACATGTTGCAAAAAATGTGTCAAGTTTCCGGGGTCTCGTTTCCTGTCACGTAAGCCGAAGAAAGATTGCATAATAAAAGGGTTCATTTGAGAGATTTTTAAGCAGAGAGAGAGATGTTCGAAAAGGGTGATAAATAAGTAATAAGCTTGCTTTAGTGGATGACTCTCTCGGTCGGTTGGTCCAGTCATTGATTGAAGAGAACAGAATGTAAAAAGTGGTTTGGAATTGGACTTGTTTATGGGGCTGACGCTGAGGAGCTAAAGGTCTGCTGAGATTTGCAAAGAATATAAAAAACCACGATGATATACAGCGTGTTGATGGATGATGATTTGAACCAAGCTCTTCTTGGTGTAGGATAGAAAAATAATAATAAGAGGGTGCGACACCAAGAGACAAAATAATTCCTGAGAGAAGAAGTCGTATAAAGTTTTTTGTGTCTGTCTGTCTGGACGTGTGCTAAAGAATTTAGTGGCGATAAGGAAGGTGTGTATGTATGCTCTCTGAGAATCTTTTGAAGTCTTCTTCTCCTTATTTTCTTCTTGGTCATGTAAAGGAATGCGAGATGCGTTGGTGGTGGTGGTGGCGACAACGTTGACGTCGTTCATTCATAATGGGAAGGGCGTGTTTCATTCAGCTTCGCAGCAATGACTTGGTTCGGTTGGCGCTGTATATTACGGCACCGAGAAGAAGAAGATGCACACAGTCTGGTCGTCTATGTATATGGAACGTCTTTGAGTATAGATAGATCACAAGTAATAATAAAAGTCGTCCTCTGTAGCTTAGCTGCACGCCTTGCTGCCTGCTACAGTGCGTGTCATGTAAAATAAAATAAAAGCTGCCTCTTGGTGGAACGGGCTTGGCCTGTGGAAGAATAAAAAGAGATGAAGATGAAGAAGGATCTCCTTATGGGTTGGATTTTCAGGAAGAGTTGGTTCTTCGTTTTAAGAGCCAGGGTTGAGATGAGAAGAAGGGGAGTTTGTTCGTTGGTTAAGTAAGTAGGCAGCAGCAGTTGAAGATGTTAAAGACGAACGAAGGAGTGGAGGAATTGGAAAAGGGATATGGATGAGAATCTTGAAGAGTGACCCTGGCTCCCAACTTCTTCTTTTTCATCTTTACTTCATGATGATGATGATGATGATGCATGGCAGAAAACCGCTCCTTGAAGGCTTGTCCCTCCACTTGAGGAATATAATACTGCTGTGCTCACATGTATGTATGAGAGATAGCATACAATTATTGGGACGAGGATTAAGAAAATCACTTGTTGGTTGTTGAAGCATCGTGGTCTGGTCGGTCGTCCCCTCATCTTATTTTCTCACCAACCCATCTCCCTCACCTCCCCATTCAGTCTTTTAGCAGATGCTGAGTCGTTCAGATCTGGCGTGTAAAACGACGAGAGAGATATAGTAGAAAGAAACTACTTTTCTTGAACGACATGCAGCACCACGAAGATCGGCCTTCCTTCATTGAGTAGAAAATCTAGAGAGCTAATCCCAGGGCAGCAGGGGCTTATTTTTAAAGTGCGTGGAAAGAGGGGGCCTGGTGGTGACGAAAAACGGTCACAATTCGTGGTGACCAGTATTTTAAAGGTGTTTGTTCTTCGTCAAGTGGTCATTCATTCATCGGTTGCTTGGTGTCGGGGGTTTGCGAAGTGGTTGGTGGAGAGGATACGCAGATTTGGCCAAGTGTTTACTCCGGCGCGAGGCTTGGTGGTCGGTCACAGTGATGTCTGAATCGGTGGGAATCAGGCATTATTGGAGACTTGAGGTGGGTTATCGTATTAAATTTTTTGTGGGATTTTTAGAGAGATTTCCTGTTTTGAAATTTTTTTTTTCGGGAAATATTGGTCTTGTTCAGCCCAAATTTTGAACGGGATAATTGAATTCTGTGACACATAGATAATTTGCAGAGTGGAGCAAATGATAGTTTCTGTTTCGAAAAAAATAAGTGTGCATCTTGTCTCTAACTTGGAATGAAATGAAATATGAAACCTGTTGTTCATTTGAATACTACTTCGCGAGGAGAGAAAGGGAGACGACTAAACGCCTTGTCTTTGTATATGTTACAGGTACTGGATGCAGGTGTGACGCGACGAAGGGAGTTCCAAATGAGGAAATGTCCAAGTCCGACGCTGTCACGACGACTCTTCTTCCGACCCCGGGTAGCATCGTCCCCCGCCTTGTTCCACCACACTCAGGAGGACCAGTTGACATAAAGAATAATACCATGCTTGCAAGCAGTCAGAGGAAAGGATTCCAGAAATAATGACGAAACTGACCTCTAATTTTGAATGCACACGCAGAAGCTGAGTTATCAATGGCTCAGAACCAGAATGGGTTTAACAATCGCCGATCCACTTCCTCCTCCTCCACGGCTACGCGGACCTACCCCGGCACGGCGGCCAGACTTTTACACACTGCCACGGCCGCCGCCGCCGCCACACCGCTCGTGGACGGCTTCTCCCCCACCACTCGGAGTCGACCAGAAAGTGCTCCCACCGTCTTTGTACGACCCTTGTCCCGTTCACAACTCTTGGCACCGGTCCATGTTGGTGGTGGTGTCCCCTCGTCCGCCTCGCTGCTGAATGAATCGTCCTCCTCCTCCTCCAGATCGAGGGGAGGGTTACCTCCACCCATCGCGAACAGACCGATTTCCTTGGAAACGCCGCGACCTGACTCTGAAAGGCACCGCAATCTGTATCTGGGCACGCCGATTAATCTGAACAACAGCAGTGGTGGCGGCGCCGGTGGTGGTGTGGGTCACCCCCCTTCAAGTAGTAATAACCCTTCCATTATCCACAAGGATTATTTAGACTCAAGTGTAACTGCTGCCGAGCAAGTGAGACTCCCCACGAGTTCGCGAACTAGTAAAAACAAAGGCCATAGTGATAGAAATAGTCTTGACAGTGGTGTCGTAACTTTGCAACCAGCCAAGAGAACGCTTTTAGATGCCAGTGGTGGTGGTGGTGGGGGTGGGAGTGGAAGTATCAGTGGGGGGGATGATGGCGTCGGCAAAGTGAAACTCGCCGAGTCCTCCATCCTGTGCCCATACTGTCGAAAATGTCGGTGCCAAGCTTGTTCAACCCCACGCCCCCTTCCATCCCGATGGATCTGTTCGGAAACCATACACTGTGGACCTGAACCCCTCCTCGACTACGTCACCTGCCTTTGCTGCGTCAAAGCCCTTTTCTACCATTGTGGCAAGGACCACGAGCCTGACGGGGGCGTCATGTGTGCCGACAAACCGTGTTCTTGCGCTCCACACCGCAAGTTTTGGAGGTGGGGGTGCATGGGCGCGATGAGTGTGGTGTTCCCCTGCCTCTGTTTGTACTGGCCGTGCAAGGGCTGCATTCGCCTGACGGAGAAAGCATATCAAAACTACCACAGTCACGGGTGCAGTTGCAGTAATCCCTCCAATACGACCACGGGGACGGGGAGAGAAGTAGCCGCGGATAGTTCGGAGGATGAAGACCATCATAATAACCATCGCCGTGGTGGACGCCATGGTCCGATTTCTCCAACCCCTCCAGTCATTGTCCCTCGTTCAATCGCGACCACCCCGATCACATCCACCTCCACTTTTCTCCCGGTGAAGAGAAAGTGACCCACTTGTCCTGTCCCGTTTCCTGGTCAGAATGATGAAGCACCCGCTCCGCCGGGGAAGACGACGACGACGTCTGAAATATATTGTACCGAAAGAGTCAGGATCGTTTTGTATGTACATGTTGCTGCATAAAGGTTGTCTCTTCTAAAAATCGATAAGTATTTTATCATACATGAAAATTAGCTAACCTCCCCCACCCGCCCCCTGCCCTCCCCCAACTTCAACTAGACCCACAAAAAACAGTAATTTTTTTTGTACGAGTGCAGCAGCCAGTCAAGAACAGCTCTTAAAAAAAGTTATCAAGAAAAGCCAGGCATAAGGAGAAAGTAAGAGAGAAAGTAACCTTTGACCTCTCTCTCTCTTTCTCCATTTTTTACGAGAGATTAAGATAGGTCAAGAATTTTTAGAATTTTTAACCTTAAACACGAGTAATTTTGTAGTAATCAATATCTATTTCAAGACTGACTTATTGATCATGATCATTTGACATAATAATTTTTTTGAGCGGAAAACACACATGTTTGAGAGAAACTATTATTATTATTTTAATTATGATTATTTAAAAACCTATACAGTTTTTTTGCGAACTGATTGATGAGAGCTGAGAAAAAATGTAGCTAAAATAAAACCTGGTAGGGATAGATTTTAGATTTTTTATTAGGTATTAAAAAAAACTACTGACAAATATTTAGTCGGAGAGAAGAAAAAAGGAGGAGAAGAAATGATACTGGCACTTAAAATTCCAAAGAACGAAACTGCATAATGATGTTTTTTAAAGAATTTATAATAATAATTATAATTACAGAACACTTTTTCACTATTATTATTGCTAAATTTTTCTCTCTCTCTTTCTCTCTCCAAGTTTTATTCAGAGAAATATTTCATTTCGTAATATTTTTTAATGTTTTTTTTCTATATTTGTGTATCCATTTTGGATGAAATTAAATCCAATCCAATTAATTTTTATGGTTTATAAGTTACGATAAAGAATATTTAAAATTATCTTCGCAACAGCTTTACCAACCTGTCGACCTGTTGATTATTATTAAATTTACACTTTATGATTACTATTATTATCAAATTACTGTTATTTAATTATTATATGTGCACTCTGCAATTAATGCTCAAATCCTTGATACCCTTAGAAAAAACTGTATGGTAGTTTGAAAAATATTTATAAATTGGTTTTTAAAAAATTATTCCCCCTCCTCCTCCCACCAACCAAAGCATAATAAATATCTCTAATAGCTGTAAAAAAATACACACAACAGGAAAAAATGGACTGGACTAAACTATTCAAGTTTTTATTAATTTAATTAATTACTTTTTAAAAAATCCACCATGACTTTTGGAACAGTTTTTTTCAGTTTTTTTTAAAAGAAAGTTCAAGCGGTGCTTATTTTTTATTTTTGTTGTTGGTCCATTCTGCATTTTTTTAGTAAGTAAATAAGTTCCTTCCTGTTTTTTTAAAGGCTAATTATTTCAATAATTAGTACAAATTGAGGTAAAAAAATCTACTTATGAGAACTGTTCCCCTGAAAAATCGCCCCGATTTTAAATTTAATATTTTACATTATTATTAATTATAAAAATTATAAGCATGCACGTTACTGTTGTTCATTCACATTCTCGTTGCTGTTAAATTAACCCTATAAATAATTCACCTACAGACAAAAGAACCACACACACAGATTATTATATGCATAATAATTTACTAACTAATCTTAGCAATACCGATATAGTTGTGTTATCATGCTCTCCTTTTTTTAGAATGATAAGTTAGCAGTATATAAAAACTGATAATAATATAATAATTGTAATGATAAGCCTAATGTAACGTTACACGAGAAGAAAAGATGGTCCATCAGGAACTAAACGCCTAGTCACAAACAATAATTTATATACAAAATGAATGAAATAGTTTTGAAAAAAAAGCCTTATTAACGGTGATGAGATGATTATGATGATGGTGGAAAGAAATGAGAATAAAGATGTACAGAAATAATAAAAGATGATCAACTCTCTGAAATTTTGATGGTATTTTTTGAAAAAATTTTCATATTGCATAATTTCATCGAGATACACACAACATATTTAAAAGGGGGAGGGATTTTTAGGACGGGGTGGATGGATTTGAAGCCGTGGGGACATCATGGACAGAAGGACAATATCCGTGGGGACAGAGGGACAATACCCGTAGGGACAGAGGGACAATATCCGTGGGGACAGAGGGACAATATCCGTGGAGACAGAGGGACAATGTCCGCGGCCATTGGATTTGAGAACCTCTGAAAAAAGCACCTCATTCTCATTTCTTCGCCTCTTTAAGAGAACTCGTTCGTTGTTATGAAACTTTAATCCAGTCCAGAAAAGTTGCATGCATGCCGGGAGAGTGGATTATATAATGGGATGAATATCTATGTATGCATATGTATGTACACATGTATGTATGTACCACATATTTATTATACTACGAATGACTACTACCTTCCTCCCGTACATACATACACATGTGAATTATAAGAAAAAGTGAAAAAAGTACCAAGAGAAGTCTTTGAAAAACAGGTTTTTGTCGATTTAGTATTTCCTTTTTATATTTATTCTCTCTTCTCTTGTGGAACACGGAAATGGCAGCATCGGGAGTCAGCCTGGCCTGGCCTGCATATAGTTAGACTTAATACGTACTCTTTTTTTTACTTTTTACTTTTTAAGCCATATGTTGATCTTTACGGAGAGCGTAATGTAGATGGATCGTCATTACTATTACGACGTCGACGAGGACGAGAGGAGAACAGGAACGAGAGGGCAAAGATGAAGAAGAAGAAAGAAGTAGTTCTTAGGAGTGGAAGAAGGTCAGAGGTTGGCTCCGCCAGATTTTGGGCGTCCTTTCGGCGTCCTTTGGGTATGTTGTGGAGTTCTATGAATGTAGAAAAAGGGTGTTAAGCCACATGGGGCCATTTGCGACTGCCACACCCACGCAAAGGTGTGAAAAATGGGAAGAAAAGGGTTTTATCGTGTGTTTAAACCGCAGCGGAAATCGAGTTTTGCTCAGGTTTTGATAATTTTTACGGTTTTATCACATCCCGTCAGAAAATTTTCGAAAAATTTCTAAAAAAGCTTGGTTTGCTATTAGATGAACCAATTATCTGGGGGCAAGGAAATGCAGAAATTATGAAAATCTGAGCAAAACTGGAAATTTTCATGCATGTCGGGCCTAATGCAGTTTAACCCTTTTTCTACACTCGTACAGTAAACATATCCAAATAAAGGGCATCAAAATCTGGTCTTGCCAACCTCCGACCATCTCCTTCTCCTTACTTTTTCGAAGGAATATACATACAACTCTATAATAAATACACGTCTCTCGAACTTCCACGAGAAGGAGGAAGAACGTAATAATTTAAGCACATCTGCCCACTATATGGACTTGTTTGGAGAATAAAAGTGGGAATAGGCTCCTGTTTTGTCCGTGTAAACATACCGAAGACGTCGAAAAGAAGAAAAAGCCTGTTGTACCGTGATTTCGTTCAGATTCACTCACTCAACTCGCTTTTACTAAAAATTATATTACCCGACAGCACATGGTTTGGTTAGGCTGGAAAATTTTCCAAAAAGCCATTCTGAACTTTCCCTACCTTCCAGATCCACGCCAGTCCACGTCCACGTCGTCCACCACCTTGACTTCATTCATGATTCCTCTTCTTCTACCTTCAATATCCTCTCTTATCGTATCATCTTGAGCAGCAGCATCAGGTTTTTTACGACATGTGTCACGTCTATCGTCATTGTCTATCTTTTCCATTTCCTCCAAGAAGGAGCAGACCAGGGCCTGCATTTTATTTTAATCATGCATCCACAATATTTAGTTGACACTCAGGTCCCACCCCCGTCGTCCTTTACGACCTTTTGGTTGCTCGTAATGGAAAATGTGGGTGTGTAATTTTCTACCTCATGCGGCGCTGATTTTTGCCAAGGTGGAAATTAAAATTTAATAAAAATAAAAATACATGTCCAAATTTATTTTCATATTGAAATTGACAATTAATATCGTCTCGGTCAAAATTGAAATTTGAGTGGAAGAACATTTATTATTTCGGGACAATGCTGGTTGGGATAAAATGATTTTTCAATATATGTTGCAGGATCCCACTTTAATTAAGAAATACTTTTCTTGGTACTGATTTGATTCGCATGGCCCCATTTTTTTTCACCAGATTATTTATTTATCATATTTATAAAGGCATTCATAATTGCGAATGTTTGGGTGTTCAAGTCATTTCTGTTCAGCTTATGTATGCATAACCTTAAGAAATATGCAAATTCTTAAGTAATTTAATACCCATGATTTTTTTCCAGTCTGCCAAGCATAATATAATTTCACCCCTTCACTCACTCACTCGCTAATACGTTTATTAATATTTTTGGCATCAATAAATAGACAGAGGCTCCAAATAAGGCTGGTTAGTGCTTATCCATTAAACGGCAAACCCAATAATAATGCATGCATACGAGTCTACTTACAAATCAGGATCCATATCGGCATTAAAAGTTGATTTAAATTGAGAAAAATCGATTCGTAAAGTGAATTCGTGTAATTTCACGCTAAAAATCATTATCATATCTCAAGCAGTTTGGTTTACTACCATACCACGCAGCCAGTTAGTTAACCACTTAGCCAGCCGGCCAGTGGCCGCGGAAGGTGGGGGGACATTGTAGGATAGGGGAGGGCCGGGTTTATTTATATAAGATGGGGAGATGATCGAACAAGCGTGGGGACATTGTCCCGCAGCCACTTTTATGTATGTAAACTCTCCTCGGCGATAATAAGGAGTCGGATGCCACCATAAAATAAAAATATTCTGTAGCAAGTTAAGCTAAAGTGACATGCAGACATAGACGGACATGGTCAGATCATAATAATAATCACAACTTTAACTTGTTCCAGCCAAAGCGATATCTACGATACGAACGAGTTGAACTCGAGCCATGAATGTAATGCCAGGCCATGAAAGAAAGAAAGAAACAGTAGCAGTTTTTAAAGCCGACTCGTTTCTTGTGTGCAGTTGTTAAATAAAAGTAATAATAATAAGACCGACCTTCTTGCAGACAGGGCATAATAATAATGTGAAGTTGAAGAAAGAGACGGAGTTTTAGACCGAGCTGAATCTCAGCAGTGTGTGCGTTTAATTGTTTAAAAATCAGTTTAGTCTGCCACGGGAGCATATTGAAGAAAGGGTTGTAGATATGTAGACAGTGGCCGCGGAAGTCGGGGAACATGGGGGGACGTTAACTTTGTAGGATGGGGTTTGTATAAGATGCGGACATCGAATAACCGTGGTGACATTGGCATTTCCGCGGCCACTGTACGTAGGGGACTACAATTGCCACTGCTGAATAATGTTGGTTGGTTGGCTGGTTGGCTGGCTGGTTAGTTGGTAGATTGGATGTTTAATAACCCTGCAATAAAATAAAACACTTCCTCGCCCCTGGGATATTATCTATCACTTCTTGTTCTCTCTCGGCATTATGGTTGGTCGTTGGTTGGTTGGTTGGTCCAACTTTTATATTTATTCGACGAGCCTCTACTACTTCGTCTTGGTTTAAGGATGCAATTTGAACGAGATGAGATAGCAGAAGAAGAACCATCTCTTCGAAGTGATTCCGGAGGAGTTGTGATCTGATTTTTTGATGTGTGGGTGGAGTGGAGACGCGATGTAGAGGTGCGCAGCAGGTCGAGATCTTTTCCTCGTGCATGTAATATCTGGAGAATCATGAAATGATGATGAGAGTGTTTTTCGGTATATATAAGGGCTCCAAAAATATTGTCATTGTGTCCTCCTCAGTCAGAGACCCTTCAAAATTGGATGGATGAATATGACTCACATCCACATCGTGGTTCGTTCAGAGAGAGGAAACCTCAGCAGGATATGGTTTTGGAGGGACTGTGAGACAGCAGGGATGCAGGATGATCCTTTCCTCCTTTAAGGACACAGTTTAAGCCTTAACTCAGATGGGAATAGGACCCTCGAACAACAACCTTTCTTCCAGAGAGAAACCTTCTTCTTCTTCTTAATGGGAAAGGAAGCGGGTGCATGATGACGATGACGACGGGATTTCTGGTGATTTTCCTTATTTTGAGCATTAGTGAGAAGACACAAAGGATATCATTAAAGAAAAAGAGAGGCAAGGCGAGCAAAACCTCAGCGGACGGAGACGATGACGACGACGGAGACCCGATTCATTGTTCTGTTCGGCTGCTGTCCTTCAAGAACTCTCTCAGACATTGATTTCCATATGCTCTCATTTCCGGTCTCTCTCTCTCTCTCTACACTTTGGTTGAGTGGAGTTCAATTGATTGTCTGTTATTCACTTGATCCCTTCATTCATAGTTTCATACCCAGCACGGCTAAAACTTGTAGTAATGCAAACATCACTACTCAAGCAAGCCCAGTTGGTGTGGAGAGAGAAGAATAATGATAATTTTAAAGGCTGGTGAAGGATGAATGCGTTATTATTATGGAGGATTAAATGGTACATTTTGGAGCTATGTATGTATGTCACTCAGAGAAAAAGGAGCAGACCAAATTTCATTCTTCACATCCTGCCGGACCAGCCAGATCTCGAAAAAGTATGCTTCGTTCGTTATTTAACAAATATGTACTGCAACACTTGCTAAAACTCTCGTTTCGTCTCGTATCAAGTGTCAGGAGGACAAGCGAGCAGTATTATCATCAGATAAGATAAGATTAGGTCGTCACTCTTCTCGGGCACACATGGCATGGCAATCCTTTAGACAAGTATATATAAATATACACTTCGTTATTATTGCAATGTTTGTTTATTGATGCTTATTTTCTTTCTACCAACATTGTACTTACATTTATTCAGACACGCAGCGTGTTGTACAATACATAGTATTATTTTTTTATATAAAAATTATACGGAGATAATTATAAATAAACATTTGTATTTAAATGCGTGCAAATAAATTTCTCACTGCATATTTACTACTGAGATAACTTGTATGTCGTGGTGACAGCGTCGTACATGTCTTTGACGTGTTCTTGGTCACTTTTGATAGTATTGACGAGATGCTTTACGCTGTTTTGTTGAACTGCCATGAAGTCTTTGACGGAGATGAGGGATCCAGAGTCAACATTGTAGCGGGGACTGGCTCTACTCTCGGCAGATTTATGGAGACGGATTTGAGACAGTAATTCATTTAGTCGACCTTTGTATTTTGTGGGAGAGTTGAGCTCGATGTCCATTTCTTCAAGGGTTCTTCTTAAAGTGTCTTCTTCCTGGCTAAGGCTAGTTCCCTGCTTTCTCATTAGTTCTTGGCGACAAATAACCTATGTAGAAATGAGATTATGCACAAAAAGGCTGAAAAATCAGAATAAATAGATTCTTCTGTGTACTATGCTTACGGAAATTAAGCGATGAGACAGTAGAATGTGCTTCCGTTTCATTTGCAGTAATTCGGCAGACAAATTGGCATGTCGATTCAAAAGGCTACCAACTTCTTCTCCAATAAAGTTCAGTCGGACGTGGTGTTGCAGGGTTTCTTTCTATGGGTGGTTTTAATAATATTTAAATTTTGTAGTAATCAAATTGCTGAAAAACGATAAAATTAGTTCTTTCGTTAATTTCTTGTTTACCTCTTGCCATTCAATCCTACTCTTTAACGCGTCCACTCCTACCAGAGGAATTGGAATCATTAAATTTGAATCTGGATTATCTTCCTGCGCTCTGCTCCAAACACGTGGATCAATTCCTTAAGAAAGATTTCAATATTATTATTATTTCGACTGATAGCAATTCAACTATGTATCTAAATCTTTGTATTAATACCATCCGGAGGATTTTCCAAGTATCGCTTCAACTGTTCCGGACTGGGTTTGACTTTCGGACTGACATTAGTAACTCCCAAATTTTCGAGCTGCGTTTTCAAGTGAGGTTGACACAGCGCGGCCGACATGTCGGTTGCAGGAACACGTCGCAGAGTATTTCTATCCTCCGCAAAAACAATCGCTACCGTGGCCTCTTCACTGACCGCTTTCGTCCCAGAGAATCGGATCAAAATATTGGGACGATTTAACAACTGCTGAATCGAGGTGATTATACTACTCTCCTCCGTCGTGACCTTATCTTGAGGTTTTTTAAAGTTGATAACCACCATCCCATCTTCATTACTGTCCGTATACATGAAAGCATACCCGACCGCTTTGTATCGATAGTACGGATTTTGCTGGGTGTACGGGACGGGGGGCTGTGTTTGCGAGTAGTACCCTTTCCCCGCCCCCATACATGCCTGCAAGTAGTTTAACGATGCTAACGTACAGTCCCTCTCATCCCCGAATTTATGACACTTAAAAACTGAGTCTTGAAAAGCTTGTGCTTCATCAATTTGCTGCTGTTGTTGTTGCTGCTGCTGCTGCAGTTGGACTGTTTGGGCTTGTCCTAACTGAAAAGTTGGGGGTGTTTGACCTAACGTAAAAGATGCCAGTTGTGGCTGCTGCTGTTGCGGGGGTTGTCCAAAAATCGAAGTGGTCGCCGGCTGACCTAAATTTTATTCAGAAAAAACAAACAAATTAAATAAGAATCGCGGTGCTACCAGCATAAATATTCGAATAATTCACACACTTGGCGTACTGAACGATGGGAATGTAAACGACGACGCGGCAGGTTTCGGTGTCGACCCGAAAACCGTATTTTGTAACGTCGGCAGTCCAAAAGTCGGCTGCGTGGTCGCCGCCGGGGTGGTGGTGCCAAACGTAAAGGCGGAAGGTTGTACGGGGGGAGTGCCAAAGATGGAGGGTGCCGGTGCCGCCATGATTTCAACAAGTCACACTTAATTACAAGTCTAATTAATTATCAATTAGTCAATTAATTAGTGTCAAAAATTAAATATTAAGGATAAAGAAAAACCACTATTTTAATCGTGAGTGAGCGAGTTTGAGAAATTCCCACTGCCGGATTTTGCGGGAAGATTTTCCATGCTGCTCGCTCTCTTCGTCTCGGCCAGCCAACTGGGATCTGTGTTTTTTCGTCGTCGTCACCACTTTTTAATTGTTTTCAAAATAATTAACTAGTTTTACTTAATTAATTATTTAATTAATTAAGTATTCTGTAGTCGTGGTGGTGGTGGTGGTGATGGGCCCAGTTGGACACGACTAATTTGTAATGTAATTTGTCGAGACAATAATAAATAAAGTATGTCCGTTTTAAGCCATTTGACACGACATATTGCTCGTTCGAGTAGTAGCAAAATACCATTTTTTGGAACGGGGAACAATGTCTTTGTCGTCCCTTCGAGAAGTCTGTTGTCCTTTGGTCAACCAACGTTGGAATCGCATGCAGAGTTTTTCGGGGGGCCGATGGAGGTTTGTGGAATTGATTTGTTTTGATTAGTTTGTGGTACAGTTGGTTGATTGATTTTTTACGTTTTGCAGATTATGCCTGGTTTGTATAGAGAAGAATTGAAGAATCGTAGGAATTCTTTGTGCAATATGATTCTGGATTGGTCGTCTAAAACGGAATCACGGTCTTCCGACTTGAGCCATCTGATTTTCATTCCAGCCTCGAGGAAGAAATATATGACTGAAAATATTCCCTATCCGTTTCGGCAGAATTCAAATTTCCTCTATCTGAGTGGAAGTTTTGATCCGGAAGCACTGATAATCCTTTGTGCCAATCGAACAGAGCAGATACACATGCTTTTCTTGGCGGATCCTGATCCAATGGTGAGAAATACGGCGAGATTGGAAAAATTATGAGGAGAGGTAATAATGATTTGGATGTTTTGTACAGGCGGAACTTTGGGACGGCCCGAAAACATCGGTGAAAGCAGCAGTTGACCATTATGGATTCGATAGGTAAGATAATAGGACAAGAAATTCATAAATATCGAGTAAACGAAAGTTTATTTCTGTAATTTGACCTCTTCAAGCAGTGAAATAATATATGCCACGTATTTTTATATTTTTATAATTTATTTTATCAAATACTTTGAACAGAGCCTTCCAAATGTCGGAATTTGATGGATTTGTTCGGGAATTTTCAAGGCTGACCAACAAAGTTAAAGTTTGGTGTGAAGAGAAAGAAATTGTGGAGAAATTACTTCATCCCACGTATGGATTTGAATTAAAAAACACGGAATCTCCAAAGGTGTGTGGATTTTTTTTGTCAATTTCTTATTCTAATTTCCTTATTTTGTAATGTAATCATAAACTAGTATTAGTTTTTAATTAATAATCACATTGTATTATCATTAACAGGCCATCTTGGACGCCATGCGTGTAATAAAATCACCCTCTGAAATCAGCCTGTTGCGTCAATCTTGCAAAATAGCATCTGAAGCATTTCAACAAACGATCAAATACTGTGCAGAAAAATGCTCACAAGGCGAGCCTCTTAGTGAACATCAAATCTGGGCAAAAATCGATTACGAAAGTCGAATTCATGGTGCAGATCGGCTCGCCTATCCTCCCGTTGTGGCCTCAGGCTCACGTGCAAATGTGATCCACTACGTTTTCAACAGCAACAAGTGCGACCCCAAGGAACTCGTATTAGTCGACGCCGGTTGCGAATTTTTCGGATACTGCAGTGACATTACTCGTACTTGGCCAGTCTCTGGAAAATTTGTTGACGACCGACACAAAAGTCTGTACGAAATGTTGCTCCAAGTGCAAATCGATCTGATCAAACAAGTCCGACCAGGAATTTCACTTGATCACCTCTTCCGAATAATGAGCAGTCACTTGGTCAAGGGTCTAGAAGAGTTGGGCATCATCAAGCCGGGTTTAGGAAGCAGGAGCAAGTCGGACATCGCCCTCCGTTTCTGCCCCCACCACGTCAGCCATCACCTCGGGATGGATGTACACGACACGCCATCAATCGAACGAAATGATCCCCTCCAACCCGGCATGATTGTTACCATCGAGCCAGGAATCTACATCCGGAATGTCCCCTCTCAACGCGAAATATTAACCCCGGCTGGAAAGGAATTTATCGGAATTGCTATGCGGATCGAAGATGACGTATTAGTCACGAATGACGGCCAAAACGTGTTGTCGGGAAGTTGTCCAAAACACATAGAAGATATCGAACGCTGGGGACACATCAACTTGGCCAAGAGTGCTAGCCGATTCTAGTAGTTTGTGTAGTCCACTTTTGTTGTTGTTATGTTTCTCCTACTTACACGCATAAAAAAGTATTTTAAAATGGTATGAAAAACCGAAAGTAAAAACAACTCGAACAAAAAAAAATTGGTTAAAATTACACCTGGATTTATTTAGCGAAAACAACATTCTTTCTCCGTCTTCTTTGAGTATACATATCGTAAGTTATCATTATTGTGATGATGCATGTTTATCGCTATCACTAAAAAATTACTTTGTATTCTTCCACGATGTGTGCAATAATGATAATACATACAAGACCATTAGCACATTAATATACATTTACGAGCAGGCCAAGGACAAAGTACGCGACACAATTAATTAGGTAAAACTACTTATTACAAGATTTCATATCTACTCTAACAATAATAATAACAAGATTCATGATGATCTGTCCTACTTAAAAGAATAATAGCTCTCTCGGCAAGAAAGGAGGAGGAGGACTTAAATTCCATAGTCAAGGAGAAGTGAGTATGATTACTAAATATTTTGCTATTAATTAATTGCTAATTCGGCGTGATCCAGTTTCAATTCGCGTCATCATCCTCCATCCAGACCAAGAATAACTAATCCTAAACTCAACAAACATGTTAAACAAATGATGTGCTGCTGGCTGGTGTGTTAAGAAGTTGAGAAAAGAAGCTGCTCTCTGAGCTCTGCCTGCCTGCTTACTCGTCTTATCAAGAGAGAGGATGGATAAGTTGGGTCATATACGTAGAGCTTCTTCTTGTCCTCAAGGTCTTTTACATGTCGTGCTGCTGGCATTACAATTATCTAAACTACTACTACGACAAGCACCAACCAACCAACTAAACTATGTACCCCGCAAAAGAGCAGTCACATTTCTTCATGTAAATATGGACTGTCAATATAAAATAGGCTGATTAAATAGTATTAACATTTGGATTGAAGTACAGTTTAGCTTCTTTTTACAGCTCCAATCTGATGACTCTTGGTGGTGGTGATGACCACTGGAATATAAATTACCACTCCAATTTCTCTGGGTATTGTCCAGACAAGCAGGCGACACAGTGGCCAATCTTTTTGGGGTCTTTCTCTCTGATGTTGTAGGTCACAGCACTTTTTAAACCCTCGATCGAGAGGTACACCAAGCTGTCGGCTCCTTTAATTCACGGACATAAAAAGCAAAATTAGTACAAGTCATTCAGTCATCACGTGCTGCATCGCATGTGAATAAGAATAAAATGCATATCACAAATTTCTTCCTCACCAACTGATGCCGCAAGTTGGGGAGCGTCCAACTTATTGGCGATAAGCTCTTCCCGTGTGGGAATGTTGATCCCCATGTAGCACGGATATTTTATTGGGGGCGAGGCAACCCTGATGTGAACCTGATGACGTGATTATTTATTAGTGTAAAGATTCCACGTTTTTTTAGCACGAACTAAACTTTGTTTTTATATACGTACCTCTTTGGCACCGGCATCTCGCAGCAATTTAATTATGGGGCCGATCGTATTGCCTCGAACGATGGAGTCGTCAATGAGAATGATCTTCTTTCCGTAGACGTTGTCCATCAAGGCGCCAAACTTCTTGGCCACGCCGAGCTGCCGGAGTCGGGTCGACGGTTGGATGAAAGTTCGTCCCACGTAGCGATTCTTGCATAAGACTTCGGCAAATGGGATGCCCGACTGGCGCGCGTACCCGTGCGCCGCGGCGGTTCCAGATTCTGGGACGGAACTCACAATGTCAGCGTCACACGGGGCTTCCTTCGCCAATTCTTTGCCGCACTGCATTCTCACCGTGTAAACGACTTGACCTAATTTAAAATATGGGGATTAATTATGATTTGAGAGTATTTTTTACAGAAAAAGTTGACTATTTACATACCTTCAAAAATTGAATCCGGTCTGGCAAAGTAAACGTATTCAAAGATGCAAAAAGCTGGCAGTTTATCGTCCGGTCTGTCCACATGTCCCAAACTTTTGACCCCGTTCCTCGTCAATTCTACAATCTCGCCAGGTTCAACTTCCCTCACGTAGCGCGCACCAATCGCCAAGAATCCCGACGATTCTGAAGAAATCACCCACCCTTCGACGTTGCTGTCCATTTTACCGTTCATGTTTTGATTAATGTCTTCATCCTGGTTGTAGTGGCGTTTTCCCGCGGCCGGTATGAGCTTGGCGATGCAGAGGGGACGATTCCCGTAGGGGTCGCGGACTCCGTAAATCCTGTCGCCGTACATGAGAACGAGTGCGTACGAGAGTGGGCTCAGTTTCATGACGTGTTTGATCCGGGCGACCCAGTTCGGACCGTCGGACTCTCCCTCGGGGGGATTGAGGCAGAGAGCTTGTGTGATCAGCTCGGAGTCGGACATCGTGGACAGGCCGGATCCTCGGTCAAGAACCTAGCCATTTATTCACACATTATTTGTAAATATTAACGTGACCCCGCAAGTATTTGCTAAAAAAATGTCACCTTTTTTCTGAGCGACTCTGCATTCACGAGTTCTCCATTATGCGCCACGGCCAAGGTTCCATGTTGCGTGTGGACGACGAAGGGTTGACAATTCTCCGCCTCGGAGGCAGCCGTCGTCGAGTAGCGGGTGTGACCCACGCCCAAATTCCCTTTCAGCTTTTTCATCGCGTTATCGTCAAATACTTGGGAGACGAGACCCATCCCTTTGTGGATGTTGAACCGCTTGGTGTCCTCTCCTTTCGAGGTTACGATCCCGGCGCTCTCCTGACCCCTGGAAAGCAAAGAATTCCTCTATTTATCGTGTCATCATAAAAAATACACAAAATTTCCAAAACTAATTCCCCCACCTGTGTTGCAACGCGACCAGGCCGAGACAAATGATTTGTGCGACATCAATCTGCGTTGGCCAATCGCCGGTTGCGATGCAGCCAAAAACGCCACAATTGTGTGTGATTCCAGCCTCATCCCCGCTCGGGCAGAGGGACAGAGATCCATCGTCGCCATTGGAAGGTGGAGAAGGGTCCTTGGAACAGGCCCCCTTGGAAGAGCAGCAAGGCTTGTCAGACTTGTCCATTCTCACTCAGGTTGGGTGTTGGCTCGTTGGGAACAATGGATGCTGTACGACTTCTACTCTCACTCTGTGGGGTCAAAGAAACTTGTCTTATCTTTATCCGTCAGAGGGAGGAGCAGGAGGAGGAGGAGAGGCGAAGGCAATAGAGAAAGAATATCTTATCCCAAAAGTGGAGCACACAGTTCAAAGCAATTGGACTGGCTCAGCAAGGAGTTAAATGAGAAATAAGACATCAAACTTTGAATCAATCAGTGAAGATGGAGATTTTTCATCCCTCAACATCGCATCCCCAATCTTGCTCGTATGTGTGACAGCCAGCCAGCCAGGAGAGGAGATGAATAGCTTATCATCATAGCGTCGCAGTCAGTGGTCATGTATCTAATTGTATGATGATGGCAGATCAAGTTATATTTGCATTGGTCAAAGTGGTAACACCAACGATGCTCTGAATTGCATGCATATGTAGATATGTACATATTTGTGTACATAGGACAAAATACATATGTCCAACTGTCTCCTCTCGTAGCTGACTAGCTCTTCTTTCGTGGTTTAAAGTCTTTGAGACGAACAAGTTGGACATGAACTTATTATCATCATCAACGCCACTGCACACCACTCGACAGGCCACCGTGTTGATGAGGACAGGACGAGATGACGACGATGAGACTGATTCTCTTTTTTGAGACAGGCAAATAATAAGCTGACTGACATCTTGTCCTGCTTCTACTACTATTGAATTGACACGCACACACACGCTGATTATTAGCAGACCAAGTGAAATCAAACCGCTCTGCTTAATAATAATGAGAAGAATTTATTTGTGCGAGGACCTCACACAAATGTGCAGAATTAATTGAAGAGAGAGATGATCATTTCCAGTTAAAAAGATTAACATGAAGAAGACCAGATTTTTCCGGATCGTTTTCGAGATAATAATGGTCCATCGAATGAGTACACGAAGAAGAAGTTTCGTCTTACGAAATCTCACCGCTTCTTTACAACAACTTATTGAATAGAATTTAAAAGCACAACAAACTAAGTAAGTAAGTACACAGATCCACTTGTTTTTTGGTGGTGGATTGGATGGATACATAGATAAGGAGTGGGCAGTGGCCGCGGAAGGTGTGGGGACATGTGGGGACATTAATATTGTAGGATAGGGGGAGGGTCGGGTTTGTATAGGATGATGCCGACATCGAACAACCGTGGGGGCATTGTCCCCTCAAGCCTCCGCGGCCACTGGCAGTGAGTGAGTGAGTTTAAAAACATTTTGATTAGGTTCAGAGGTCAAGTCATCACACTGCTTCTGGGGACGAAAAGTTGTTGAAACTCGATTCTTTTGTAACCAATATTTACATGTCCGGACTAGCTTTAATATTTATGTATGCCAGTAGTTGCGTCATTTATTTATCTTACTGATAATAATAATGTGTGTGTGTGGGTATAATTCTCATAATTAATTTGTTCCCATTCTTAATCTTAATTGGAATTTGGAGATTATTTATGTTGATATAGGGCAAGATTTTGGTTGAGAAGGAAATGGACTAACTTTATCCAGGCAAATATAGAATGACATATTTTCTAACTACGATAAGTTAATTGTCGGCTTTACGATTAATCCTTAATGCCTAATTAATCAGTTAATCCAACTGGATTAAATTGATATAGGGCAAGATTCTGATTTTAAGAAGGAAATGAAATAATTTTATCCAAGAAGTCGCTAAGACGGGTTATTTTCAATACAATTAATCCTTAATTAATCAGTTAATCCATTCGATTAAATTGATATAGGGCAAGATTTTTGTGGAGAAGGAAATGAAATAATTTGATCCATGCAAATCTAAAATGACGTTAATTGTTGGCTTTACGATTAATCCTTAATATTTAATTGATCAATTAATCCACTCTTCATGCGGATGCCTTTATTTCTTGGTGACTTGAGCCATGGTTAAATTTAAATTATTTATAACATTGGCGCAAGTTCCTACCTATTAAAGCATAATCGAACCTAATTGCTTCCTATTTACATTAATTTAATACATTAATTTACCCTTAATTTACTCAATTTCTGAATTGAGACTGATAAAAAAACGTGCGTCTCAATTTCTCTGCAGACAAGAGACAGGGCAAAAGTTGAGAAAGATGAGTCGACAAATTTGGCCAAACAGAATAATATTATTTACTTCGAGAAAACACTTCTTGTTAATTGTCCATGAGAACAAACTTATCATTGATAAGGACATACATGCTTTAACCCAGTCAGCACTTTCGTAGGTACGTATGTAAAAGTGTATTCACCAGAAAGAATCTGTTGTGGAGAAGAAAAAAATTGCGAAATGTTGGTCACTGAGTTCACCAGATAAGCCATCCTCGCTCGTGATCCGCCCCAGAAACTCTCCAATCGGACATAAGGGGTGTGGACAAGCATCATACTGACGCTCAGAAGTTGACTATTTTTTAACTGCCTCGAATAAATAAGTGAGAGGATAATATGTGCAAAAGAAGAGTGTGTGGCTGATAAACAGAGGACGAATATGTATCTTGAAAAATCGCTGAACAAATATGTATTTACGAAAAACGCCAAAATATTTACGAGACATGTACATAAAAATCAAAATTTTCCCAAAATTTGTATTTCTGAATATAATGCTCTGGAGTTTTTGTGGTAGAATTTCTTTCCGCAAAAAATTTCGTCCCGTCACGTATCGTTAAAATAATTACAAGCTTTACATATTTCTGGAAAAAAATCTAAAATATTTACATAATTTTCAAAATATAGCAGAAATATTTATAAATATGTCTGAAAACCTAGAAATATGTACCAATATTTAGAAATATTTTGCAATTTGTGTGAACCATACTAGTTTTCGAACACACTCGTAAAGTTTCACCGTCGGTCATCATCAAATGACAAAGTTTAAAATAAATACATATCCGCCCTCTGCTAATCACCAGTAAGTGAGACCCATGCAAGTTAAGAAATACACAAACAGATAAGAAGCAGAAGAAGAACAAGAAAGCAGTTGGGTTATCGCGTTTTGAAATATTCATACCTTGTGACTCTGGTGTTATCGTTGATGACGATGATGACCTCAACTTGTCTCACTTATCGGAAATAATCGGAATAATTCCACTCCTTCCCGTCTCACTTTCCTCTCCAGAAGTAGAAGAATCCGTCCGACTATTGAATGAACCCACCTCCTTCTTGACGAGGCGATTTAAACCAAATGGACCACCGCATGCATGCAGATAAATTTGCACTTGAATGACATTTACGAAAAAATAATTAATATTCGGCCGGCTTTAATCCTCAAACTCGAAAATCCTCTTTTTACTCTTACTGAAATTTGAGACACTTCCTTCTTATTTGTGGATGGACTATGTATGCACACTTGCACAAGTGGCAGACTCTCTGAAATAATTTGGCGATTATGACCACATTAATGGAACCAAATCAGGTTACGTTGGTGGACATTCGCCCAGCGAGTGATTGACAAGCCAGACGAGACAAATTTTTGCAATATTAATTACCTTCTTGCGTACGCCGACCGAATGGCACAATGGTTTTGGATGCGACTCTTGTAACGTGACACGGACGAAGATGAAATCTCGAGTTCCTTGAGCCTCGTACAATGCACGGCGAGACGAGATTTTTTTTCAGAAGAACGACTAATTTTCGTGTGACAAGAACATTAGAATTTATGATGATGGAGGGACCAGTCAACTTGGCGACGGCGAGGTCAAAGTTCACTCCGTCAGAGAATTTAACACTGACTGACTCTGAGGTTTCTTCTAACTTAATAATTATTTTCAGTCTGACTTTTGTTAAAAACGTGGACACAAGTTGACATTGTTTATGTACTTGTGCGTGGGAATGGACGATCGTTTTGTGTGTGTACGTGATGGGATGGGATTGACCTATTTGCTAAGTAAGATTATCTCAATTTCTGAGAGGCAGTAGGCTCCAGTAGCATTTTTGGGTTTAAATTAAACCTGCAGGATTAAGGGTTGTTTTTTTATGAAAAAACCTTATTTTTTCCCAGTGAGCTATTTCGGTGCATTGTTTAACGAACCTTTAAATAAGTTCTGAGAAACCGTGTCAAAATAGGTAGGCATGTTTTGAACAAGTTCGGTACTAAACATCACAAGTCGGCGAAAATGTTGAACAGTTCTAAATACAAAATATTTTGGGAAATGTGTCAAAATATTTCCACTCTTAAAAAAATACAGATAAACAAAATGCCATCACGAAAAAATATATTGTTTCCGTTAATTAATTTAATCAACTTTTCATCATGTTTCAGCCGACACACATACATATAAAGAAACACGGTGACATATTTATTTCCACATTTGGCTCGGCTGCGAATAAATAATGGATTAAGTTTATGACCATGTTTTTCATTTAATTGCATTCTGCTCTCGAGGAAGAAGTAGAAGAAGAAACTTGCTACAAAGATGTGATCCATTGAATGGAATCAGCCATCCATCCATCCATTCCATCCTCCTCGTCATAATCTCTCTTATCATCAACCACTAGACGAGGAGGATGTTTAGAAGATGAGCTTCGACTGAAAAACAAAGTTGTTTGTGAAATATGAAAGAAGAGTGAGGAGGATGATACATGAAACGAAATCTCGTCATGCGGCCAGGCCAGCAAGATTACGTAACAAGGATCACCATAATTTAAACCAAAGAACGAATCTCATCTCATCTCTGGGTGACCAAAAATTGGGAAAGAGCAGCAGTCGGCCTGTTTTCCAGGCAGTTTCACAATAAATATGTGACCGATCTGAGGCACGTGATTAGATGAAGAAAAATAGAGAAACTAACAATCTCATCTGGGCAGATTATCCCCTAATAAGCAACAAGTGACGATTTATGATATGTACATTTGCATCGTGATAATTTTGTAAAACGGAATCTCTCCTATCCTATAAAATAAAATCATCCTGGGTGGACTGGACTGGACTGGACTGGAGAAATAGTGGAGTTTACTTATCATGTCATTTATCACTAGTTAGGGGTCAAGGTTCTTCTCCTCCTGCTTGGGTGGATTGGATCTCATTTGCATATTTGTAACACAGTGACAAGTTTTACTGACTTAGATGCCATATAAAGATAGGCAGAGAACGCGTCTCTTCTGCCCACAAGCACCACCACCACCACCACGATTTTATACATATCCATCTTGTTTATCCACCTTCTTCTGCATAACTGGAATGATAATGAAATGAAATAAACAACGTATCATCACCATCCCATACCACCACTTGCTTGTTAACTTTATGACACGAGCAGGCCAGGCCAGGCGTAGAAATTGCAGCGTGAATATATTAAATATACAACTTAACCACGCCGTCCATTCACTTCCGTGACTTTCTCGAGCTACGTTGCCCGCAGACCCAGCCAGCAACAAATTGTACTTCGTTCCAAGTTTTGCAAGAATCATGGCAGGTGAGTAGTAGGTAGTAATTTCGTTTTTTGGGAACAATAACTGAATGTTTCCCATTTTTGCAGATCTGACCCCAGGAAAGTTGCTCATCGAGGGGAAGACGAAGCAGATTTTCGAACTGCCGAAACAACCCGGGGCATGTTTGGTCCAGTCGAAGGACCGAATTACGGCCGGCGATGGGGTGCGTGCCCACAATTTGACGGGCAAAGCGGAAATTTCAACGGCCACGACGTGCAAAGTTTTCGAACTTTTGAACACCGTCGGACTCAAGACGCATTACATCAAGAGGGCGTCGGAAACCGCGTTCGTTTCCAAGAAGTGTGACATGATCCCGATCGAGTGGGTTACCCGGCGCGTCGCTACGGGGTCATTTCTCAAGAGGAATATCGGCGTCAAGGAGGGTTATCGGTTCAATCCGCCAAAACTGGAAACTTTTTTCAAGGTGAGGATAACAAATATTGATGTTTTCATACATTTAGTGACGTTGTTTATTGTCTCTCTCCTTCTGCATGAAGAATTGCGTCAATTGCTCTTTATGCTGTAAAAATCCATTCATTTTAAGACACACACATGTAAATAATACTCAATAACAGTTCGGCATGTTGGGGATAGATAAGGATTTGACAAACAAACAACATCTTTTTAGCAGATGGACGAATAAGCACATGTGCATGCAAGATTTACGTATAATAAAGAAGATGAGAGCAAAAAATGGTAAATCTCACAGCGCGTGTTTGACCACACAATTAGCATATGCATAAAATTTCCAGGCAGAAGTTGATAGAGCGAGGATGGACGAATTATGTATAAATATTTGCAGTAAACAGCATCCAATTCTTGATTAAAAGCACTTTTTGTTGTTATTGAAGTTGGAGCGAATATGTAAATTATTGCCGATTGTTTAGGATGACGCCAATCACGACCCCCAATGGTCGGAAGAAGTTTTGATCGCGAATGAGTTGAAATGCGGCGGGATCACGATTGGGAAGGACGAAGTCGACTTTATGAACAGGACGAGCGTGGCAGTCTTCGAAGTTTTGGAGAAGGCTTGGGCCTCCATCGACTGTGCCTTGATCGACATGAAAATCGAGTTTGGCGTGGCTGACGGGGAGCTCATGGTGGCCGACGTGATTGACTCCGACTCCTGGCGACTCTGGCCATCCGGGGACAAGCGACTCATGAAGGACAAGCAGGTCTACCGAGACCTTCAAGTCGTCACGCAGGAGGCGTTGGATGAGGTCAAAGCCAACTTCAAATGGATCGCGGAACGACTCGATTTGCTTCTCCCGTCTCCAAAAGCATTGGTAAGTAGGAATCTTTATTCGTTTCTGAAAAATTTGGAAATTACGGAAATTTGAAATGTTTTTTTGAAATTGTTATTCACCAGGTCGTCGTCCTGATGGGCTCTCCTTCTGATGAAGACCACTGCAAAAAGATTGTAAAGACGTGTCGCGATATGGGGGTCCCTTGTCAAATGAGGGTGACCTCGGCCCACAAGGGTCCCGAGGAGACGCTCAGCATCATCGCGCAGTACGAGGGGACCGGAATCCCGACCATTTTCATTGCCGTGGCCGGTCGTTCGAACGGCTTGGGTCCGGTGACGAGTGGGAACACGGCGTACCCCGTGATCAACTGTCCCCCCGTCAAGTCTGACACGGCGATGAGGGATGTCTGGTCTTCCCTCGACGTTCCATCCGGCTTGGGCTGTGTCACGGTCATGTATCCCGAGGCGGCCGGGTTGGCTGCGGCGCAAATGTTGGGACTTACCAACCACGTCATTTGGGCACGTCTTCGTGTCAAGGCGTTGAATAATTATCTCTCCATTAAAGCTTCAGACAAAAAGATTAGGGAATTTTGAAGCAGGAAACTTTGTCTGAAATTTCTGAGTGGTCTCTTCATCCTGTCAAAATAATTAGGAACTTTTCTTCTCTTCTTTACTCCATTTTCTGGTTGTGGTATATTTCATCTATAAAATTGAATTGTATATGTACCGAATTGGAAACTGTAATAATAAACGATTACATACTATATACAAAATTTATAATAGCAAAAAATATGCATTTATTTATTTTACGCAACTACTATTCCTTTTTTGAATTATTATTTTTTAAGTATTATATAGTCATTGTTTGATGTATATAAAGGTACCGAGGCATATTTTGTCACCTGTCAGCATTTCATATCTCATATCATATTTATCATTGATGACAAGCAGACATGCAATTAAGTCTAAATTCCAAAATTATTTCTAGAACAGTAGGAGTACACATGAATAATAAACATTTATTATTGGGATCACAGTTTCAACTTAAATAAAAAATAAATAAAAATGATTAAAGCTACAAGTTAGTAATTCATTATACATGGTTTTGACGACGACGCTGTGAAAAATGGCGCTGGTGCAAGTGTGGAAATATGTAGTGGTTTGTTGGTTGTTGTTGTATCATATTGTAGGTAATAGTACTTTGTTTTAGGGCCAATTTTCATACAGTTTTGTTGTTGCGAACCCCATGCAGTTAGCAATGATAACACGTTGCCACCAGCACGTTATTCTGTAAAGATGATAGTAGTTGAAGTATTAAGAATTTGTACCATTTTCAGTTTTTGTAACCAACAAATTAACTTAGAATTTAAAAGTGTGAAAAAGTAAATGAAACCTTATCCAAACTTGTTAAAGCGATTTTTACACACTAATTTGTTTGTTTTTTTAGGCTACTGAATAATTTAGTTTCTTCATTGCACGACTTCCATGTTTGGATTTATAGTATAAGTAATGATAGTAATTTAGTAGTATGTCAATGCGACGACTGGATACAAAAACACAGCGCGATCGAATAACGACATTTTTGGACTAGTTTCAGAATAATGGGTTGCTATTACATAATATTCTGTATTTTATGTGGATGTATGTAGCTGGATGCGAGGTGTTTTAGGAGTGAGATTGAGATAAAGACAATGGCGATGTTAGACCCATTGCTTGGAAAATTTTAAAATTGAAGTCTGACGACTGATGATGCTCTTGACCCGAAGGCTCGTTCGTATCCTGTAAATTAAGATTAGTTGTTATTGGTTAGTGGGTTAAAGTAGTTTGTTATCGTTTGTATTAGTTGCATTATTTACCCCAAGCCAAGGATGTAGAAGAACTTCTTCTGCCGAGGGTCGCATATCAGTGTCTCGGTCAATCATTCGTTGTATGATATCTTTTGCTTGATGAGAAATGTGTTCCCAGGGATCATCAGGAAAATCGTATTCGCCTGCGAGAATTAATTCAAATAGATCTTCCTGTTTTCCAGTGGGACTGACGAATGGAGGATATCCGCATAACAGGACGTAGACGATGACACCAAGTGCCCAGATGTCCACTTTCAAACCATATCCTGACTCTTCCAATATTTCAGGGGCTACATAAGTAGGAGTCCCGCAAACGGTGTAAAGGGGCCCATCAGCAATTTTGGCCAGTCCAAAGTCACCCAGTTTAATTCTTCGTTGACCGTCGTTTTGGGTGTAAACCTGAAAGAGTGAGGTAAGCAATTAGAATTTTGCATAGTTAATACGTAGCAGAAGATGTGTATATAATGGATATTTACTCACCAGTAAATTTTCTGGTTTAATGTCCCGATGCACGATACGAAAAGAATGTAAAAATGCCAGAGCTGATGCCACATCTCGAGTCATGGAAGCACTTTCTTCTTCAGTAAATTTAGTTGCGGCAGCAATTGCATCAAAAAGATCACCACCCTGAAATAATTATAATATGATTTTAAGGTTAATTCCTAAGGTCCAATTAGATACTCGAAAATATTAATAAACTCAAAGATAATTTACATACCTCAATCAATTCTAAAACAATGTAGAGTTCATTGCTAAAGTCGAACTGCTCAAACATTTCGACAATGTTAGGGTGATAAACCATGCTCAGGATTTTCACTTCATGTTCTGGTGGAGCATCTCGTCCTTTACATTGTGCTTTGTCTATGACTTTGAGGGCATATCGTTGTTTAGTTTGGCGAGCAGTGCATTCGCGAACCACGGCAAAGTTTCCATCCCCAATTATATCTCCTACGTGATACTTGTCCAGAATTGCTGCAGGAAAGTGAGTGACAGGAATATATTTCGGGTGAGCCGGATACTGAGATGATGAGTGACCTTGAGAGTTTGAACAAGACTTTGGTCGTCGCTGATGAAGAGGGGAACGAGACGCTTCTAATCCTTCAAAACGAGCTTGCTTAAATGCGATAAATCCTTTGACATACGGTTGAATAGATTTACACTCTACACAGAAAAATATAAACTCAATTAGTCAACAAAGTTAGCTGTGTGTACTGTACTTCACAACTCCATGGAAAATATTTATTTACCTTCAAAGTCTAAATCAAAATCATTTGTGCCCAAACGATCATTTGGACATGCCAAGAAGATGTCATCCTCACCGAAAAAGTCTTCTAAGCAAGTAACCTATTGTAGAGAAGAGAAAGTAATTTCAAATATTAGATCACAATTCTAAACAGATTTTGGGTGTGATGATGAAACTGAGATTATGGTCACTTACTTCAGATCTGGAGATAGTGTAGACTTTTCGTACAGCCCCCCAAGCTGGTTTGATTGATTCCGTCAGCTCGTTCAGGACCTGGTCGTATGATCGAGCAGTCTTCTTATTAAGGAGAAAACGAACCGCTTTTCTTGGTTTCATTCCATGCCGAATGATTGTTACGAGTCGTGGTCGTATAAACTCATTTTTAGAAGAATCTTAAAGTAAAACAATAACAAAAACTTGAATTGGTTATCTGTTTACACACATTGCTACTCTTTTGCCAACATAATTATTAACATTTGTATCTACCTTGTCGTAAAGTTTCCGGTTTGTCGGTAATTCGCCTCGGTTTGATGACATTATTGGGAGAGTCTGAATTTTTCGACGTGGTTGTGGTGCCCGAATTATTATGAACACCTGTCGACCCTGCCAATGGAGTACTGACTCGTTTAGGTATGGGAATTCTTGAAGCTCCAAGTCCCAAAGTTTTTCTCTCTCCTGAAACCGTCATGTTGACATGATGATTATACGCGGACACTGGCCTTGGTCGTGGGGACGATTGCCGAGCTCTAACTCTGGAACATTTCTCCATCGCAGAAACATCTTGTTCCGACAAAGTCTTCAAAAGTGGATTAATTGTTACGAGACTGGGGGAATTCTCATTTTCTGCCATGCAAGTAGGTTCCACGATCACAGATTTTACCAGATTCCTCTTCTCCACTTTCTTCTCCTTTGTATGTACCAGACTATTTCGAGATTTCGTGATCACCGTGGCTGTGCTGTTGTTGCTACTGTTTGGCGAATCCTTGCCGTATGGTAACATTTTGAACCGTTCTGTCCCACAGACTACGACTTCTTGCAATTTCTGGACCTCAGTCCATGAAGAGATACGTTTTCCATGAATGGTGAACACTTTTTGGACTGGAACGCTCGCCGCTTGTTGCAACAATTCGAGAATTTCGCACCAGCTATGAGATTTATTTGGGTTAAGAAAAACAGGTCGACAAAGGTTTGAAATGTGGCCGTTTTGATAAATTCTGATAGACTTTGGAGATGACGATGTCGGTATAGAATGATTAGTTTCAAACGACATGGACAATTCATTTGAGGAGGATGAAGATTTCTCGGCCTTCTTTGATTTATTTTCCTGGCCCTCCACAAGAAATGCGTCCACCTGCGTCATCTTGTTCCTCCTACCTCATAAATCTATTCCAGCACACCTGCAAAACAAAAACATCAATATTTAATTAACCCCAAACTTCCACTAAATTCCACTAATTTGCGAATTTTTTTAGTCCAACACACTCGTGTTGGATCCCAAATTAATTACTCTAATGGATTTACATTGCAAAAACTATGAGAATGGGCAGTAAGTTAATTAGGTTCAAACTCTTAATTATATTACCCAATTACCAGAGATCCGTGATTAATGAAATTTTTTCTAGGATTAAGGATTAAGGATTAATGTTATTCCGGGATTAATTAAATAATTCAATTTGGTGGGATTAAGGATTAAGGATTAATTCAAAATTCTCTGAGATTCGGGATTAAGGATTAAGGATTAATTAATCCTGATTAATTCTTGATTAAGGATTAATATTATTATTATATTACTCCATTTAATGCAGTTTAATTGTTTATTGTAGCACATAGGAATATTGAAACGTCAAATACATACAAAACGGACAATGTATAGGACTTTTGCATGTAAAATGTGAAGTAAAATTTGATGTTGGCCTAATATTCACACCAATTATGGCACACATTATGCGCTTGGCTCTAGAAAGAGCCGCTCAATTTGTTCGACATCAAATAATCTGCCGGTGAAGATGAATGGCATATCTTTCAGGCATACTTTCCCACCACCATGTCAACCATGATTAACGACTGAATCAGTATTTTTACGGAAGCAACAATTTAAAGTTAAAGAATTCAACACATCTTAATTTCGCGAGAGGAAAGTTGAAAGAGTGGAAAAATATCATATGGTTGAGAATATGTAATGTAAGTGTTACTTCACTTCATTCGCAGTGATTATTCTCTTGCGAGACTTAATCCTAATCGTGATTAAGGATTAATAATTTGGATACGCTTTGTCGGGATTAAGGATTAATGATGTGGAAATATTTCGTCGGGATTAATGATTAAGGATTAATTGCATACAATTTTTTGTCGAGATTAAGCATTAAGGATTATTAATCCTTAATCCGTAAATCAAGATTAATTAATCATGGATCTCTGCCAATTACCTACTCTCAATTAGCTTCTATACGAGCAATAAAACCACATTTACATGTACCAACCACGACTAGAACTTTTTTTATTATCCCCGAGCAATATTATTTGTGTAGACGAAATTAGTCACAAATGACAAAACAAAACAGAGGGGTGGGTCACCGTGAAATTTGCAAAAGTACTTACTTATGGTCCACCACCACTTGCCGATAATATTTAACTAAAAAAAGAAGTAACAAAAACACGACTACTTTATTTTGGACAATTCGCAACATGAAAAAAAGTGCTAGGTTCCCAGTCAGTCATTGACATCTCTGACTATTTTCTTGTTTTTTTTACCGGTTGAAATGCAAATTTGCAATTCAAACTCCTAAACTAGGGTATATGACACCACTTATTTCCAATGTGCTGTACCTTAATTTGTGCAAATTTGCAAATTATATCGATTAACCAATTATTTTTTTTGCAAATATGTAAACTGAATATGAATTGACCTAATTAATTACGAATTGTACGGTATGTCTATTTTACTCTAGACGGAAATTAGTAAGGAAATCCACCATAAATTATGTTTACCCGTGTGGTAAATTACCACTATTATATATACGTAATTTTAATTGGTGACATTCATAAAGTGGACCATTATGTCTATAGGGTAAAAAATATGAAAAAAATCCTGACAACAAAGTGTGTATCGTTTTTAGTTATGCAATAATTTTAAGGTACCTACACTAAAATAGGCAATTAATACTAAATAAATAAATAAAATGAATCACTTACTTCCAAAATTTTGACTAGTTTACGGCTGCTGCTATATTATTATTGCTCCCGGTGGTCTGTTCTTCCAGCTTATTATTATTACGATCTTTTTCTATCCTCCATGGTGATGATGATGCTGACGATAATGACTCACACATTTTAATTTATTCTTGCTAAAACTGTGAACTGTTTTCTCTTTGTCATCTTCTTGTAAAAAATGGAGAATTATTGTTGAATCGATGATGTCGAATTGATTGATTTAATTGATCCAATCTTGCAGAAAGTTTGATTTCTTTCGTTGTTGGCGTCCCTGAGTCGGTTTGGCAAAGTACCGATATGTAATGTAGGTATTTCTTGTTTAATCAATACTTGCTAAATAGTAATACTGTCGCCACGCAGATATCTAATACATACATCCATCCAAGTAAAAAACAATCAAGGACAAAGAGTCAGGAGACGATTGATTCAATTTCTCTCTTTGTGTTTGGCCGATTCTTCCATTGATTATTGTTTGGATTGAAGAATGAAGCAGTGGTTAGTGGTTGGTGGGTGGGTAGTTCTGCACTAGACAATTATTATTAAACGGATGTATATTCTCCTTCTTATCGTTAAAAAAACCTCGCTTAATAATTTATAATACCTCAGCGGAACAAGAGCAAGTTTATTTTATAGGCAGCAATAAACTAAACAAACAGCCGACGAGTTATCTCTCTTCCCCTCAGCAGCAGATTGTTGCTGATTAATTGATAATGAAATGAATGTCGTCGTCAATTGATGAATGAAACCATTGTTTAAAGAGGAATAAATATGTTGAGCAGTTAGGTTTTTAGATTATTATAATACTTTTCAGTAGGGCAATATTGATGATGATGATGATGTTTAAACCACGTATAAAAATTTGTCAAGTCGAGTAGCTGCTTTCTTCTTCTTTAAAAGTCTTATTACTAAACTAATGGAATCAACACGACTGAGCTATTTAAATCTAAATCCAATCCTGTCGTATGTATGTACAACAAGTGCAGCACAATATTACAGATATTTTATAGCATCATCAGCAACACTATATAGCAGTTACTAGTAAAGGAAACATGGCCTGCAGGCATTCAAGAAGAAGAAGAAGAAGAATTGAAACTTTACAGTTTATGTTATGTTATGTATTATTACTTGGTTCAGACTTCTCTATCTACTACTTTATTATTGGAAGAAGGCCAGTGCACTGGTATAACATGCACAATAAAGAAACTTTTAGTAAAAGTTACGTAAAAAGAAGAAGAGACACCGACCGAGAGAGAGATATAAAACGAATCCCATTCAAGCCTCGAATTATGGGCTTTTTTACCCTCTTTCTCCACTGGATCGAAACAGTGACTTTGTGATGACAAAATTTGGCCAAGATTTTAAGAAAATATGAGATGTTGCTTAAAAATAATTTATTTATTTACCTGCTTAATGATGATTAGAATATGAAGTCTGTATGGTTTGGGTGGGTGGATAAGAATACTTATCTACTTTTCGATGAGGTTATCAGAATTTGCTAAAATTTTCCAGGTGGATTTTTATAGAGGAAGGAAAAAAATTCACAAAAATTATAGATGAGCCTTAGTTCTTCTTTCTCTGTTCTGTTTTTTTTGCGATACAATGTGAAACTACTCGAGTGTTTTCTGCTGTCATTATTTTATTCTATTCATCGAATCCATCCACCACTTATTTGCAACCTGCAACCCGTCAAATTCACACTTCACTTGTGGATGGATGGAATGATGATAACATAAAAAAATATTTGCACAACAGCACGAGAGTATCACGGACGGGTGGAGAAGATGTTGTACCGCCCACCATCTACCATCTACCCTATGCTACCGTACATCATCTACTTTTTTATCATCTACCTTTTTTTTATCATCTACCTTTTTTTATCATCTACCTTTCTAAAAATCTCAAATTCCCAAAAAATGTTAAAGTGCCCCAAAACTCCGGCATTTATAAATTCACCCCCGAAATTTTTATGGGGCAATGTGAGATACATTGGGGCAACGTGAGATTTTATTTCATATTGGGGTATCGTTCGTTTTTTAGCGAGCGAAGCGAGCAGGTTAGGTTAGATCTGCTAGGTAGGGAAAAGTGTGAAATGTTTAGTTAGCCAACCTAACTAGCTAGGATAGATACAACCTAGGTAGCTAGCTATCCCAGCGAGCTAGCTAGGCTAGATAGCTCTGCTAGCTAGGCTAGGTAGATGTGCTAGCTAGCTAGGCTAGGTAGATGTGCTAGCTAGCTAGGCTAGGTAGATGTGCTAGCTAGCTAGGCTAGGTAGATGTGCTAGCTAGCTAGGCTAGGTAGCTGTGCTAGCTAGGCTAGGTAACTCTGCTAGCTAGGCTAGGTAGCTAGGTTAGCTAGCTAAGCATTTCACACTTTCCCCTACCTAGCAGATCTAACCTAACCTGCTCGCTTCGCTCGCTAAAAAACGAACGATACCCCAATAGGAAATAAAATCTCACGTTGCCCCAATGTATCTCACATTGCCCCATAAAAATTTCGGGGGTGGATTTATAATTTATAAAACCCGGAGTTTTGGGGCCCTTTAACATTTTTGGAGAATTTGAGATTTTTAGAAAGGTAGATGATAAAAAAAGTAGCTGTTGAAAAAGTAGATGTTGAAAAAGTAGATGATGTACGGTAGCATAGGGTAGATGGTAGATGGTGGGCGATACAACATGTGGAGAAGAATGTTTTAGAAGGAGGAGAGGAGGAAATCATTCATGGTGATGATGAAGTATGTATAGGGGCTAAAATGTACGTAAGTCATGTACGTATAATATGTACAATGGGAAATGGCATTTTATGAGAACAATAAAAATACGCCTAATTTTATCTACTTACTTTGTGCAACCTGAGCTGAACCTAGTGATGCAGTGCAGAATACTATGAATGTCGTAAAATATCCTGGCAAAATAGGTGCTAGACATTGATCAGGCTTTGAAACTTTGGATTTGCAGTTATCCATCAGCTTCACCCGTTTTGTAGAGTATGTTTTTTTAAATATATATCGTGAGGAATGGTCTTGATGATTGGGATTATGTTTCAGACTGTCAAGTGCATGAAAATGGATATTTATGTAAACTGACTCGGGCTTCATGTATACATGCATTTATAAAAAATGTAGTGTAAAACTGTGGTTATTTCATGGATTTCGTTGAAATTTCCTTTATTTTACCGATTCGTGTATAGAAAAAATGTTTACCTAGGTAAGTAACACCATGTTCGTAAATATGTAGAGATGCAGGTAGAACTACTATCACCATATATAAATTATATACGCATGTGGGAACTCAACAATGATAATTTGATTGTGCTTATTACAAATCTCAATAAGTCGTGAGAGTACTATATTTAAAAAAACTGAATAAACAATAGGCTCGGCTATTTCTTTAAATAATTTGCACACGAATGACATTTGTACAAAGCTAACGATGGTGTGAATTCAATATAAGGAAAAGGTAACTATTAACCGAAATTTGTAATTATTATGTTGTGCTCAAACAAAACGTTAAAAAAACGCAATAGGAATTTTTAGGAAAGGCGTGCTTTCAAAATTGGTATTAAATCAGTTCGAGGAATTTCTTCTTCTTCTCGCGTCGCAACATTTCGAAGCTTGACGATACCTTTTTCTAGCTCTCCTTCTCCAATGACCACAGCCCATGGGATCTGCATCTCTTCACAATATTGGAGTTGCTGGAGTAGTTTTGGACTTGCCTTGTAGGAATGTTCAGCCTTGATTCCGGATCCCCACAGAGTAGATAAGATCTTAACTCTCTCCTCGACCAAACCCTTTTGAGCAGTTGCGACGTATACTTGAGTCTCGGTTGTTCTGATTTTTTTGTCGGATCGTTGTTCTATAATACTGAATACGCGCTCAACCCCGATGGAAACGCCGACACAAGGAACGTTACGTTTTTTGGGGTCAAACATCCCAACCAAGGTGTCGTAACGGCCGCCACCAGCGATGCTGCCAACACCGACGGCTGCTCCGCCTTTCCCTCTACCTGTTGAATGAATTTATACGTTTCAAACTATGGATAATTATTCATATCTATAAATGAAAATTGCTAATATGATGGCACTCACTAATTAAGACTGCCTCATAAATTACACCGGTGTAGTAATCCAGCCCACGGGCAAGGCTCAAGTCAAAACTGACGCTCGATTCTTCAACACCCATGAGTTGACAATATTTGAAGAGCAGTTCCATACTCTCGAGACCTTGTTTGGTGGTTGGATTGCTCATGAAATCCGTGTCGCTTTTCAACTGAGCTATCACATCGTTAGGTTTTCCAGAAACTTGGATCTTCTTTCCAATCTTGTCTGCAATTTCTGGACTTAAACCCTTCTCATTAATCATTTCATTTCGAACTTCTTCCCACGGGGATTTGTCCAACTTGTCGACCGAGGAACAGATTTCCCTAAACTTTTCCAATGGAACTCCACACAACTCGAAAACTCCATCCAATATTTGTCTGTGGTTGATTTTGATTTGAAACTCTCCGATTTGCAATGCGTTCAAAATCTCTTCAACCATCTTGATGCATTCGGCATCAGGAAGCATAGGATCGTAAGCGCCAGCAATATCAAAATCCTGTTAAAACCATTAAAATTTATTAAGATTTATAGAAAAATATGGGTTCACATACATTACATACAAATTTACAAATTAATTAGTTAATACTTTGTCAACTTACACATTGATAAAACTCTCGAAATCGTCCCCTCGTCATGGCTGGATTATCTCTCCGATAAACCTTGGCAATGTGGTATCGTTTAATCGAACTAATCTTACTCATAGCAAGATATCGGGCAAAAGGGACGGTAAGATCGTAGCGAAGACTCAAAATTTCACCACCTTGATCCTTCAAGTCATAAATAAGCTTCGAATCCTCGCCATATTTTCCGGTCAAGACATCCTTCAGTTCAAACACGGGAGTATCAATGTTCTCCGCTCCGTGCCGTTTAAAACATTGGATTATCGTTGCCAGTACACTTTCTCGAATGGCCATTTGTTGCGGGCTGTAATCACGAGTACCCTGCAAATAAGTATTTGAAAATTTTAGTATCCTGTTGTGTTATCAAACGATAATCATGTCACTGCTTTAAAAAACTTCAACTACTAATCGTCTTTCATAGTTTTTAATTGAACTCTCACCTTGGGCACTTTGAGTGCAGCTTTTCCACCACCGCCACTACTGCTAGGAGCGGCCGGAACGCCATCCCCGTCCTCTTTTTTAGCAGGACATTCCTTCTTCTGACCCTTATCAGAGGTGGTCAAGTTTTCCATTTTGTCGGCCACTTGGTCTCCCATAATCTGCAAGAGGGAGGACGACGTACTAATGTGATGAATACACGTATTGCGGTATTTGCGGTACAGAGTGGAAGACGAAGGATGAAGAAAGAGGCGAAATATGCGACATGACGACATCGACACGACCATTTTCGTCAGCAGGGGAAAGAAGAATAATACAAGACCAAAACGAATCAAAACAAGGAATTAATATTGCTTAAAGTATGTAACAATTTTAGTAGTTAACACCGAGCTAGAAATGAATGTAATCTGGGTCAATTGTGTCGTCATTTTCGTCACTCGACACATTCCACCCCCATCATAGCTCAACAACCAAGCCAGGTTTTGTTGGGGGGGAGGAGGGGATTAAAAATTAGGAAACTTTGAAACTTACGAGTATTATTCCTTCGTCTAAAAAGATAATGGGCTGAAAGAAAGCAGCAGATGTCGAGAGATGAAGGAACAGAAGCAGCGTGGAGATTGAGGAATCCCGGCAGAGGCAGCAGTCGCAATAAAACCAAGTCCATTTTTTTGCACAACACGCGATATGAATTGCACATCATATTTTTTTGCAAATTTGTCGCTATTTTTTGAGTGGAGAAGAATGCTAGATGCAACTTTTATTATGAACTAGGGACTGTGTATGTATATTTATGTGTATGTTGTACAATGGAAAATTATTGCAATAGACTCCGGTTTCGAAACATGGATTTGTGCAAAATGTCGTTATTTCAAGGATAAATTTATTGAGATTTTGTTTATTTTACCGATTCGTATGTAGAAAAATTATGATATTCATTATATACGAGTTCGCATTATATATTTATACAAGTTAAAAGTTAATAAAGTTATCTGCTGCACTCGTTTGTTTTTGTACTTACAAAAATGAGAAAAAGACGACTGCTTTGATGCATAAGAACTTCGGGACAGCTTCATGGGATGTAATTCGTCCTTGTTTGCACGGTAGAATAAAATTAAGCAATATATTGCAATTTCTTGTGACATATTAATATATTGATGACGATGGTATACGGAAATACACGTTGTCATTGAACTCGTCCTCATCATATGCATCAAATTGGTCGCAATTGCTGTAAAATCATACTAAATTTTAGAAGTATTTGGTTAAAAGACATTTAAGAAATGCAAGAACTTTCGCTCACAAAGAAATAAAGGTGGTGAGTGGTCGAAAGATTGTGTACTGCAAAATTCCATGTTTACATGCATTGTAGACGAGTGAGGACGAGGACAATAATGCTACCGATGATGGGTCGAAATCTGCTGACCCGAGAAAGCTGGACCACATTGAACCTGCCAGAATACAAAACAATGCCACACTTATCATCACAAACTCAAATTCAATCCAAACTTTAGATATTAAAGTAACAACTCGACTATATTTAATCTGAAACTTTGACTTACAGGAAATAAGAGTGTTGTAGTTGTTGAAATCGGCAAGACCCTGAAATTTATTCAGAGACGTTATCATTGTTCCCAAGCTCACTATCACTATCACTCATGTCTTCATAGACTCCTGCTACTATCTGATTTAATTGATTGTGGAATATCTGAAAGGCTCCACGGTCGTCTGAAGAACAACATCCATCAAAGTAGTAGATTGTGCAAATGTCAAGCTTATAACACCAAATTTCGAACTTAACACTTAATTCGTCGGGGGAAATGGGAAATATTGTTGGAGGGGACGTAGCAATCACGTGAGAACCCCTGACATTTTTCTTGATTTTAATTGAGGCAATAGAATCATGTTTTTCCCGTCTAATGTCTAAACAATAATTGTCGCTTTGAGTTTTTTCCAGCACAATTTTAATGGAATCCTCACTGCTCAAATAATTAGTGACGTTCACTCCAACTGCAACTTGAAGAGAATGTATCTTTAGACTGTCGGGAATCTTAAATGTCATGGCTGTAGCCATCTCGTTAAACCCCTTTCTCTTCCTATATCTTTCCAATTGTAACTGTCGAAATTCTTTAATTTTCTGCGTTAAGTCCATAATGTTTTATATTGCATTACAATTTAGCAGTACTCAGTAAACAGTTAAAGATGTTTTTTAATACAGCAGCAAAAGTTCAACCCGAATTAGGATCCCGGCGGAGGCGGATTGAGACAAACCATACCGCACCGTAGTAACGGTGATAATGGAGTGGACGAAGATGATTCCGTTAATTTGGGTTTTATAGGTGCGTAATCAAGGTAAGTCAAGTTCAGTCAAGGTAGCAGAAACATAATTAATTTGATAATTAAATCAAGTTATGAAATGGTTTTCAATGCATGCAGCTAAATAGCATTTTAAGAAAAAGGGATGTCTAGTCCGTAAATGAATTAGTCTATGCATAAAATTAGATATCGACATTGAATTTGAGATATTCAAAATTGAGACGAGGCCAGGCACGTTAACCTGGTGACAGTACAAATGAGGTTGTAGGTCAAAAAATGACAAAACGTCAAATTTTCTCATTATATCTGTCTGTAATGCTATTAGTATATTAATATTTCAGCTAAAAATATACTCAAATCTGATTTGAAGAAAGATTTACCCAAAAATATTTAACAAGTAATGTCTTGTTTAGCAAGGTATAAAATATTTAATGATGAAACTAAGTATACCAATGATACCTTACAAACTCGGGTGCATTTACATACATGTACATACATAAATACTTAATAACGTATAACTATGCAGATTCGGATTCCTGCATTGGATTTAATATCCAATATGAATTGCACATCATATTTTTTGCAAATTTGTCGCTATTTTTTGAGTGGAGAAGAATGCTAGATGCAACTTTTATTATGAACTAGGGAATATGTATGCATATTTATGTGTATGTTGTACAATGAAAAATTGTTTCAATGGACTCCGACTCTGGTTTCGAAACATTGATTTTTACAACATATACAAAGTTCCAAAATGTCGTTATTTCAAGGATTTTTAAGTTTACTTATATTTTGTTTGTTTAACCCATTCGTGGGTAGAAAAATAATGATATTTATTATATACGAGTTCGCATTATGCATATACTTATAAATACGTTAAGTTAAAGAATAAAGTTATAATAATACTGCTGCACTCGTTTGTTTTTGTTCTTGGAAAAATGAGAAAAGACGAGAACTTCGGGACAGGTTTCACAGGACGTAATTCATCCTTGTTAACACGGTAGGATAAATTTAAGCAGTACATTCCAATTGCTTGTGACATATTAAATATACTGATGGCGATGATATCCGGGAGTACACGTTGGCGTTCATCCTCATCATATGCACCAAATTGATAATATGCTGTAAAATCATACTAAATTTTAAAATTTTAAAGGTATTTGGTTAAAAACCATTTAAGAAATAGATGAACTTTTGCTCACAAAGCAATAAACGTGGTGAGTTGTCGAAAAATTGTGTACTGGAAAATTCCATGTTTGCAGTACAAGATCATCCATGCATTGTAGACGAGTGGGGACGACGACAATAGACAATCTGCGGACGACTTCGACTTAAAAAAAGTCACTACTGATTTGGTATTGAAGTGGACAGAGAAAAGCTCATGCGTAAATTGTCCTTGTTAATATTTTGTTTTGCTTAGTACTTTGCGACCATTATTCTGACGACGACGGACATTTGTCGAAATCTGCTGGACGACGATCAAACTGAACCTGCCAGAGTACAAAACAATGCCACATTTATCATCACAAACTCAAATTCAATCCAAACTTTAGATATTAAAGTAACAACTCGACTATATTTAATTTGAAACTTTGACTTACAGGAAATAAGAGTGTTGTAGTTGTTGAAATCGGAGGGAGATGCCAGGACTTTTACTGAATCACTTTGAAATGTTTAAAGGTTATATTAACCACTACTTTAGTTAATAGTGATTTTATTCCTATGCCATATGTATCGCAGCAAGACCCTGAAATTTATTCAGATACATCATTGGTATCACCGTCGTCATCACTTGTATCTTCATCGGCGCCTTCTACTATCTGATTGAACTGATTATAAAAGCTATCAAAGGCTCCCCGGTCGTCTGAAGAACAATGGCAAACGAATTTATAGATTGTGCAAATACCAAGTTTATAACACCAAATGTCAAACTCAAGACTTAATTGGTTGGGGGGTAAGGGCCATATTTTGGGAGGGGACACGTTAATTATTTGAGTACCCACTACATTCTTCTTTATTTCGATGGCCGCAAGAGAATCGTTATGATCTTGTCTTCTAATGTCGAAAGAATAATGGCCACTTTCAGTCTTTTCCAGCACGATTTTAATGTTATCTTCACTGCTGAGATACTCTGTGAATTTTACGCCAATGATAACTTTAACAGAAATTATCTTCAGACTGTCGGGAATCTTAAATCCGACATCGGGGGTGGGGGTGGTAACAACAATCCCCTTTCTTTTCCGATACCTTTGCAATTGTAATTGTCTAAATTCTTCAATTTTCTGCGCTAATGATAAATGATCCATTATGTTTAATCTTTCGTTGTTTATCACTCAAAACTAAGAGAATTTCTTATTTTACGATTGGCCTACAGCAGCAAATTAAAATTATTTTGGAAGAAAATAAAATTGACATTTGTTCAGTCCGTCGTCGTTCTACATTTGTGTCTCATTTTGATCATCCATCATCCCGGGAGGAGGCAGATTGAGACAACCGGAACCCTGATTAAATGGTTCCGTTAATTAGGGTTTTAATTAGGGTGGATTTATGGGTGGTCAAGGTAAGTCAAGTTCAGTTAAGGCATAACTAATTGGACAATTAAATTAAGTTATGAAACGATTCCCAATACATGCAGCTAAATAGTAGTGGAGGTCTAGTCAGTAAATGAATTAAAGGTCGAAGGTAAAAAACGTCAAAACGTCAAATTTTCGCATTTTATTTAATCCAGAATTTTTTACATTTCATTTCCGCCACGTCATTACACCCAATCCATAATGCTATTTCAGCCAAAAATATACTTAAGCCTGATTTGAAGAAAAATTTAACCAAAAATATTTAACAAGTTATGTCTTTTTTAGTAAGGTATAAAATATTTAATGATGAAACTAAGTATACCAATGATACCTTACAAACTCGGGTGCATTTACATAAATACTTAATAACGTGCAACTATGCAGATTCGAAAGTGCACCAGTAAACGAGCATGAAAATGTTTTAGGAAACAAAACACCATCTTTAACTGGGTGTGGATTCATCTCCCTCTTTTTCCTCCGAGCTCCTGTATGAAAATTCTTCATCTGTATGAAAAAAATATGTCGTCTTAGAATAAAAAATAAACGATAATAATAAAAAAATGCCCATGCGAAGGTGCACACTTTCACCGTTTCACTTTACGTACATGACACTTAATTTCATTTCCCAACTTCCACTTTTGTTCATTTTTTATTTTTATTTTATTTATTTTGGCCCAAGAACAAAAGGATATTCAACCAGAAAGACATTCAACATTTGCGACTTTGCGAGTTGGCAACAAGAAGAATGCATGCAAAACTAAATTGTGATGATTCGCAAAAAATTAAAAAATTGGGGGAGTCAGTCACTCGTTTTTTTATATATTTACTTCAAAAAAATATACTGCATACCGATAAATAATCAATATAACCTAGTTAATAAACAAATGAGATGAGATTCATGCGAAAACCACAATTTTTCTACCATGTCTGTCTACCGATAAGCACTTATACATGCTTTTATTATCTATATGAATTTATTTGTAAGGAAATCATTGCCAAACTTGTACAAAATTTTTTTACCTTAAACTTTCTCATCATCTTTTAATATTCGGATCCTAATCAGCTTCTCATGAAATGAGATGAGATCTCGATAAAATCATTCATTATTAAATATCTGTACATACAAATATAAAATAAGGCAAAACAAAATCAAAATTATAGGACGGCACTGATCTGAAACAGATTTCCTTTTGGAATAAGAACTCGGTCGATTTTTTTCAACTAATCAATTTAATCCCAATAAAATAAAAGTGTGTGGTTTTGGTTTTATTTAAGTAGATGTGCATTGTATTTTTATAATTGCACTTTTGATAAAAGGGTGCAATTATGATTCCTTAATAAGCAAATAAGTACCTAAAAAAACAAGAAGTCTTATAGTTTACGAAAAACCATTGGCCAACATTATCCCCGACTTGATAAGGTAAGTACAATATACACACGAGATTTTGAGGCGCTTGGTAAATACTACGTAACACTCACTAAAAGAATATTTATATCCCTTGTCAGAATCGAGTTTCAAAAAACAAATGTGCATCTCCGACCAAACGAAAACGAAGGATTGGTGGATACGCTGTGTGGGATTTGAAAGAGGTCAGTATCATGAAAAAGATATACCAAGTTTTAAAAGACCTACCAGCATTTTTATATTTATAGGTAAGCAGACAGACAGCAGAGAGCAAATCTTTTACAAAAATTACTTATGTTACGCTCTTGATGCACAAGAAGATTTAATGGATTTTCTATTTGTTTGAGTATTAAATCCAATGCAGTGATAGTGCTTAACACGAGCAGACCACAACCAATTCCTGGCACCGACGACCGACCGACCGACCTTTAATACGTATCAAGGGTCGTTCTTCTTGCCAGTGATAGTGTGGATGCATGTAGGATTTAAAACTATTTACGTACATACCTATGTACATATGATGCCTAGAAAAGCGTATCAAACCCATCGTAGCGTCAGTCACTCACTTTTTTGGCGTTTTCTTCCCTCAGTGTTCAATCGAACTCGCGTTTCGCACTACATTTTCTTCATCCTTCTCTGTCCGTTTAAAAGAGTTTCGACAGCTTTCAAAAATTTTTGAGGAGGAGGCCAGAGGATTTTGAAAAAAAAAATTCTTTGGAAAAATATAGTTTATAATTTCTGAAACTTTAATGATTTTAATGTGTCGCGTTGATATTGTAGAGTTGTCAGGCATGGTGTGATAAAGGGGGTGGAAGTGACGTGACGAGATAAGTGGACAAAAGTTTGTGTGACTTATCCACCCGGATAAAAGTCGATATGAAATCGGGCATAAATTTCCGGGTTGTGCCGGGTTTGTGTGTTTTGTTACTGGTGGCGTGTATCCCGGGGGCGAAAGCGTTCTCACTTTCGGAAAGTTATAACAGTTTTGTTAATGGAAATGGGCACTATCGTGGGCGTGCTTTGAGTGGAAATGGGCAATATGGTGGTGGTGGTGGGGGTGGGGGTGGTGGTCGTGCTATAATTGGAAACCCTGATTCTGCAGGTAATTTGTCTAGTTTATGATAAGTGCGTAGTCTCACCTCGGTTAAAACGAGATTGAAATTTGATAGTGTAAAAATATGCGTAATTGGGCATTTAAGAAGTGTGTTAATTTTATAGTGTTATAAATTTGGAGATTATTGCATAAAAAAGGGACGGTTTGTAAATTCAGAAACTGAAACTGATAAAGTAAAATTAATGATATTTATGTAACCTTTATAAAATTCTATTCTACTTTTAGATAAAAATTTCTAAAAAAAACTGCGAAATTTAATGTCACAAGTGCAAAATTATGATATGCAAATTTTGTACAATAATTGAACTGAAATTAGAAGTAGGACGGGACCAGATAATAATCCTGTGAAAAAAAAAGTTGGATGAAAAAGTAAACCAAATCATGTAGGTATCGACATATTTTTATGAAGTATTATCGAGCTCCAATTTTTTTCCGTTGGATTGGATTTATATAAGTAAAACGAGTATTTTAATGAAATTGTATCAGCGGTCTGCATCACTATTCTACTATTTAAAGCATTTACCATTTACGGAAATAATTGGGCTACAAAGTGCTTCTTGCAGCACGATGAAGATGAGCGATTCGAGAAAATGTGCATGTATCTACTCGTGGAGTGTGAAACATTAAAAAAACCCATAACAAACAAACAAAAAATAAGATAAGACACACCGACCGACTACTCGACTGATGATATCTTCCCCTTCATCTTCCCTGATGATATCGTCTTATCAAATTAAGATAAAACCTAATTTTCCGCAGGGGATAATTGGCTTAATTACCTATTCAAAGTGGCAACTTTTTTGTACTTGTTTTAGTAATTTTATGAATGAATTTCAGTTTTTGAAATTATTATTTTTTTAATAATGTGAGACATTTTGAGGATTTGGGGAATAAGTGAAAGTTAAGTGGTTAAATTATGTAGCTAGTGAAGAATATTTTTCAGGGATTTAAAATTCCATATCAATATTTTTAACAAAACTACGAAACTTATTATAAATGCACATGTTACTGATTATGATGAGAATATTTTTCAGGCATTTAAAATTCCATATCAATTTTTACGGGTTTTTAACAAGGTTAAAATTACGAAACTTATGGTAAATTCACATATTATTAATCATTATCATAAACATATCCACTTTAAAAACATTCAAAATCCATTCCCAACTTTTTCATATTTACTAAAATATCAATGCTTATTTTACTTTTGCCAAAAAATTAGTAGCATCAAATCTTTCAAATTTACTTTAAAAAATGGGATTCAATCCAAATTAGAGAAAAAACACACACACGTTAAAAATGGACCTCATCAGCATCACTTATCTATTTACATAGTTCATCCCCAATGCGCCGAGTTGTTGAAGGGAGCGAGCGATGAGATCACTGGGTTGAAACAACGCTGAGGCTGACCTTGTTTTTACCATTTCAAACAAACGCCTCACCCGAAGTAGAAATAAAATAATTATATTATTAAATGTTACAAAAGTGAGTTTAAAACTCAAAACGAAGAATTTTTGACGATGATGATATGATGACTTGTTAGACCAAAGGAGTGAGTGAAAGAGCTTCATAACAAAGGGAGCGGAACCAGGAGAACCACACCAACCAAGTTATTAACAAGAGATTATTACATGCGTGCGTGTCTGCGATTTGGTTATCGTATTACCCACAAATCATTTTTTTTACACAACAAACAACATTTTTTCTTGACCCTTAATAAGTAATGTGCATGCATGGTTAGGAAAATTAGGGGTGGTGGTCTGGTAACAAAGACGTAATAAATATATGGAAATAAAATTACTGCATGATTCAAAATTTTGAAATCTTGTAATGATTCTAAATTAATTTTTTGAACTTGCAGAATCCGGCAGTTACGAGGAATCGAATGAAGTCGAAATACGGCCAAGTCCGACGCAAAAAAGTACATATTTTGTAACCGCGACAAAATATGGGGACGAATTGTTATCAAATCCACCCGGATTGCGGAGTGGGTATAGAGAATTCGTCTCACCAGGTCCTCAAGAACTACCCCGGTACGGAAGTCCACTCCCCTCATTCGCCCCCATGCCGACGAGTACGCAGGAAACGGTCAGATCTTCACCTCGAGATCAAGGCGACACTGACGACGACATTGGCACCGACGACGACGACGACAGCCAACCCGACTTTTCCCCCGAAGAACTTGACGACACTGCACCTCCTCCTGTCCTGCCTGACCAGGAGGGGACAGTTGAACCCGTCCAAAGTACCGTCATCCCCCAGGAGCCTGACCTGACGAGTGCCCCTTCTGAAATCGTGCCCGAAGTTTACAACGGATTGGAACCATTCGACGAGGAAGATAAGCCCAACATGACGACTCCTCCGGTTCAATTGGACGAAGAAGAGAAGGCGGAACTCGTCATGGAACCAATCCCCACACCGATGGCGCTTATCTCCTCGAACGGAGAGGGAAGCAATCCCCCCTTGGAGGAAGAGTTTGCCGAAGCCTTTAAAAAATTTGGTCCGAATGGGCGACGTCGTCGCATCCGGCCGGGCGGTGGGGGGAAAAGGAGGGTGAGAATGCGGGTCAAAAAACTTAATCGGGCTCCTTCCTCTTCTCGGGAAATTATTAACCTGGAAAGTCCGACGATCTATGAAGATCCCGTCGTTTTGGAGGAACAACAGCAGCAACCAACACGGAGACCTCGTCGATACAGAAGCACGACGCCGAACACTCCACAAGATCAAGAAGACGTCAGCCCAACGATGCCCGAACCCACGGCTACCACCACCGTGATTAAGAATGGGCCTAAACCCATCATAATTTCAGACGTGCACTCCGGAAGCACCGGACTCACGGCGGTGTCCTCTTCACAGATTCCGCAATTAGAACGACCCGGTTTAGGGGGAGGATTTACGGAGCAGATAAGCACCTATTTCTTCACTCCGCCACCCCGAATTTCAACCACGGAGGAGCCCAAACTTCAAAATAATAATAATTCTGATGGAGGTTTCGAAGGTTTGAAGATGACTTCGGCTTCGATTGAAAACCAGCTTCATAGTTCGAGCTCGTTCGCCTTGCAGAATCATCCCTGGGACACGGCGGCGGACAAGAAGGATAAGGACGGAATAAATGATAAGCCAGATAAGCAGGAGAGGATCCGGATAAGAGGCGGGCACAAAGACAGCGTCACAATAGTTACACCCGTGCCGACAAAGAATGAGCCCGAAAAGAGCGAGAGCGTGGTCCGGAAGATGGTCCACACTCCGATGGAGGATAGAAACTATAACGTCCATAGCGGACAGCAGCAACAAGACGGGATGATGATGATGGACTTTGACGGGGGGAACAGAAATTTCGCTCATCATGACGACGAAGGGCAAAGAAATTCCTTCGGTTTTACGGGAATGGTGGGGAATCCCAGTGGCGAAAATACTGGGTTTTTCTCCCCCAACTCGGCAGGTTCGGAAGCTTCTGCTGCTGCTGCTCCATTCAGTAACTTTGAGTCGAACCCACCCTTCCCCCCACGTGGAAGAGGTAGCGGAGGCGGAGGAGATCGTGACCACCACCCAAGGTCGCACTACGACCGGACCAAAGATCCATTCTTCACGTCGAACCCCTTCTTCAAAAGTGGAAACCCATTCTCCTCACCACCGTCTTCCGCGTCTGGTGAAACCCATCAAGTCAAAGGGGCCTACGAGCATCACAGCATGGAGGGATCCCCCACCGGCCCGGAAAGTGACGCGAGTCAAATGCAATTACCACTTTTCGATAAGAATGGTGCCTACATGTCGTTGAGCACGATGTCCCCCATGGCGGCGGAACAGTTCTACGCCCCACCACACGACGACCTGCAAGGCGACTACGGAACCAGTACGCACTACGCACCCGTCGAATTTAAGAGCAGTCCGGCCGACCCACGCGACAAGAACAATAATCTTCGTGGAAGAGAGACTTTCACTCAACGGCAGCGCCCAGGCTTCCCCACGGAACCCGACTACAACTACGACCCTGGGAAAGGTAACCTCCCAAACCCGCAAGCGCAACATGGCTACCCGCCACCAGAGTTTTCTCCCAACGGGGACGGCGACGTCAACCCGGGCAGCAACCCGAACTATCCGGACGACCTGAGTGAAAACATGATTCACAGCGAGCACGATGTGCAGAGCGAGTACGGGAGTAAAAATCCGACCGCCCTTTCCCTCTCGCAAGCCACTGCGCCGACGGAACATCAGAAGGAATTTGCCAACCACAATTATCTTGGGACCCAGGACCTCGCCCCGCAGGAAGACGGGCAGATGTCCAACTACAGCGAGTACAACGAAATAATTTCGCATCACCATTCCCTCCCCCCGAATAACGGGCAGGAAGAAATGGCCGCGCAGATGTATGCACTCCCACCAAATCAAGGCGGTAGTGGGGACGGTACTGGATTCCAACAACAAGCCTACAACACCGACAACAATCGCCCCCTTCACCCCCACCACAACCATCGCCCTCCACCCCCTCACTTTTTCAGGAATAGTGTCCCCCCCATGATGCACCATCATCCCCACCACCACCCCAGATTCTCCCACCAACGTCTCCCCATGCCCAACACGCCACTCTACTCCGTCGCCCCAAGTCCATTCGGCGGCGGAGGAGGAGATGGGATTGGTCAACCACCTCCCGATTTCTCTATGTCGTCATCCCCCCATGTCAACATGCCGATGCCAGGACTGAACAATATTCCCCCACCACCATCGGAACAGGAGGCGTTAAGCCAGGTCCAGCCGAACCACCATTTTCCTCCTCACACGCACTCCATGTCGGACAGGCCGGACTACGAGCCGGCAAATCCTCCCTTGCCACCCGGGCATCCGATGGAGATAAACTACCCTCCTCCTTCATTCGGAGGGGAAGTGATGAGCAATCATATCGATGATACTCCGCCAGGTCAAGGAGGTTATCATCAACCCCACTTTGACGACCATCTCAACCCTTCCGGGGGAAATCATAATCATCAAAACCACAACTACAATGGTGGTGGTGGTGACAGACCGAATGGGAACAACGCTCCCGGGTATGATATCCTCTCCGCTTATTACGATAAGCCCCCACCCACCGTCGGGTCGCCGGATTACGATCGTCCCTCCACCAACAACAATGATAACCTCTTATCCAAAGTCCCATTCCAATATTCCAGCAGTGACGGGGGCGGTTTGGACAATAACAATGTCCCATTTACCGGAAAGCAAAAGGACACCGAGCCCCCCTCTGACACGACGAAGGAGAAAAGTCCCGAGGACAAAAACCTGACCGCGATGTACAGCGAAACCCCGTACGTCCTCATGTTCCCACAACTCGTCCCGGAAGCCGCGATGATTCCCCCGCCCCCAAAAATCCTCACCAAAGAAATCCCCGTTGTCCAAGCGAGCTCCTTGTCCACCATGCACTTCACCCCGGAAGGGAAACCCGTCCTTCCCCCGGGCATGAAGGCCGTCGCGGTCCACCCGAGACACCAGATGTACCAAGTTCTCGCTAAAGCCCACTACGACAAAGCCCTCCAGCAGTACATGGAAGCCAGGAAAAAACCCCCATCCGCCATTTACACCCCGTACGGCATTCTCGTCCCCATGGGACCGTCCGCCTCGGCTTCGACGAATCATGAAAAGTATGCCAAGCTAGAAAGTCACCAGGCCCGTCATGGCAAAACGGAGAAGCAAAACCACGCCAAGGACCCCCACGAGAGAACCCTGCTCCACTTACTGCTCGGGAAGAAGAGCCCCCTCGGACACTTTCACCTCCTCAAGTCCGCCTCCATCAAGAATGGGCGACTCAAGCAGCATTTCGACATAAAAGCAAACATCGACCCGGCACTGGACCTGCTCGCGGAAAAGCTGGCGCTAAAACTATCCGCGGCCAAGTATCTGCTCACCGCGCCGGCGAAATTTGGCGTGCACGCGTTTTCCAAGCCGAAACAGCACACCGCAAGCTATTCGGAACATAGCCCGCAAGTCGTGGAGTCTCCTTCCCTCGGAGGTGGACAGACTTCTGCTTACGCCAACTCGATATCCCTCGGGTCAGAGTTGAAGGACATTTTAGCCGCTAGTCAGTCCGCCTATGACCAGCAGCAGAAGCAAGTCAAGGGCGAAGTGGTGGACCCCGAGTTGAAAAATGAGCTTAAAAACATGTTAAAGGACCGTTTAAGAGAAATTCTAGAGGAGACTGATAACACGATGGAGATGGAGAAGGAACACTTGGCCTCACTCGCGAGCAATCTGGTCCACACGACGAAGGCACATCCTGCTGCCGGGAACCCGAAGTGGTCCGCCTATTTCCCCCCGACACCACCCAGCGGGGGTCTGATTGGCACGATTAAACGCCTCTTTTTCGGAAATCCTTCCTCCTCCGGGACTACCACACTACTTTCCGGAAACGAAAGGTCTGACACGATTCTTGACAACCCTGTCAGAAACGTGGGGGCGCACCCGTTCGGGTCGGGAAGCAGTTTAAATTTCCTAAATTCCGTGGGAAGGATGGGAATGTCGGAGGCTTCTTCCCTTCGGACGAAAGCGTTACTTGACCCGTTCGGACCGCCGTACGAGACATCCTCAGGTTCGGAAAAGAAGGTGAAAAAACAGCTCGAGAAATGGTTGGACATGGTCTTAAAATCGTCCCCTTCGACGTCTTCCTCCTCCTCCTCCGACATGGCGACGAGCGAGTCGAAACAACACCCCGTCTGGGTCTCGTCGCCCCCTCCGAGTCCAACCTCTTGGGGGAAGAATGACTCCATCTTTTCCCACTTTATTAAACCGGACACCCCCGTTAAAAAGTCATCCTTGGCCAGCTTATCACTTGCCGCAGCGGCCAACAGTTTAGGTCTGCCGGGGTCATTTAGTACCGGACAGAAATCGTCATCCACCACCAGTAATTTCTTAGCGTCAAATTGGACCCCCATGGTTTCCTCCGCATTTAGGTCAGTCTTTAACTATTCTCCACTCAAATCAAATAACCCCCAGCAGCAGCAGCAGAAAACAACGACGACAAGTTTTATGAAAACGACGTCCACCACGTGAACAAAATCGACAAATATTTGTGAATGTCTGCTCAAAAAAATTACGATATTGATGGTAGAAATTGTTAGTTATTGTTATTGTTATTACTATTAAGCCATAATATACATACCATTAGATAACGTTACGTACGTAGATAACCCACACTTTTCCGCCCATGCCTGCACATTTAAGTAATAAAAAATTTAATATTTTTCTGCAAGTCGAAACTTTCTCATGTTTTTGTTGGTCGAATTAATCTAATTTTTCATGCAAAATAACCTCTAATAATTTCATAGATATTATTTTTGCTTAGTTTACGCAGTTATTACGTAACTTATTTTTCATTTATGAATATGTAAAACGTGTGTGTATCATGTGACTGATTCAATAAAATCAACTGCTTGTACTAAATAACTTCTCACGGTATTATATTTTGTTTAATAGTTTTTATTAAAAGTCGCGGTGTAATCAAGAGGTACAAAGACAACAATTTTTTTAATGCTTCATAATAATTAAGTAAGTAGTAGAGTTATATTTAATAACTATAACTTTTTTGAAATTTCAAATAATCTAACTTTCTACGAGCTAGGTTTTTTCCACTTTAAATCGGCAAAATTTAAACAAAATACGAGACAGTAAATACAGATTTCATTAATATTTCTCTACGAAATTAATTATTAACAGCTTTAACAAAGTTATCCTTTAAATTTATCATTATATTTAATGCTTCATTTTAACAATTAACAATTATTTAATCTAAAAATTGATGAATAATATATAACCCCAAGAAAAAATATGCGTGCAACAATTTGGCCAACTTGCGTAAAATTATTTAGTACCACTTCTTGGTTAAATAATTAATTAATTAAATAATAAAAAAAGTGCTAAAATAATTGGATTATGAACACAATTATTGCACACTTGGTGAGAATACAATACATATAAATATAATTTACATATCTCTATTTAAATATGTACACAACGGACAAAATAATTAATTAATTAATGAGCTGAACGACACTTAACTATTTAACTACACACTTTAAATTCTTCGTCATTTAAATATCATCATCATGTTCGTAAAAAGAGAGAGTGGTCAATTGTGGAAAATTATCTTGCCTCGTAAAAAAATGAAAATTATAAATATTCTTAACTTTTTTAAGCGTCACGCCAATTCACCGCGGTAAGTAATTAGTTAGTCATTAATTAAAAGCTACGGTAAAACGGTCATCATTTATTTATTAATTATAGCAATTAATTAATTAGTAAATATTCTTATAAATAAGGAAATTAACTACGGTTTTTTCTTCTACATCTATTTATCTATTAGCAAGTGAGTGTGAATGAATGGATGCATTTTTTTTAGCGTAGAAGTAGAAATTTTTTACGTAATACAAGCGGAGGAACATATTTCTTATCTTTTTTTTACAAGTTTCCAGAACAAAGAACGACGCGACGCTATTTCAAAATTTCGCTTTATTTTTTTATACAATTAACACACTGTCATCTTTTCATATCAATCAATCAATCCATGAATGAATGAATAGTTATTTTTAATTTTAAGTTTTAGCCCGTAATCATGACCATCATTTCGTCTAAATTTTGTAGTTTAAAGAACCATTTTTTACTTGGTAAGAATGTATGCATCTTAGATTTTTACACGGAATTCAGAAAGGAGGTCTGAAAAATATCCGTAAAAAGTGTCCTCATCTAACTAATTTTAGTTACATTTTTTAATTAGGGTTTTAACATCACCACCGACGTATTTACTTCCTATGGATTTACATACTCTCACATTTTCTTCTTCTTCCATCCTCGACAGACTTACATATTCCGACTGAGCAAGCAATTTAATAAGTAGTGAAAAAGAAAATTATTATTTTGCAAATTATGTAAAGTAGATGGTTGGTTGGCAGAGTTTTTTTTAGTTTCATACATATTTTTGGATAGTTATAGTTTTTTCGTTGAAAATTGAATTTCAGAATGATGAGAATTTCCCGTTTTTGTTAAATTTCCGCTGTTTTGTTTCATTTTTTTGTATGTAGATTACATACATTGAAAGGGTTTGTACTTTTATTTGCTGTTTTTTCTTATCCAAAAAACTTTTTTCTTTGAGGAATTTTTGAACAAAGTTGCACAAGTTTCAATTATTTTGGCAAATGCTGTTAAACGATTTTGAGACTTTATTGGCCGAGCCGAGCTAGTAAATCATGAGGCAGTTTATATTTGCATAAAGGTATTAAAAGCAGTATCTCATTTTTTTGAGACGGGGAAAATGAGACCCTAAGTTTTTTTAAAAAATTTCTAAAAGACGTAAATACCGAACGGAAAGTTTCATTTTGTTGTATACTGCTCGAAAATTTTCGTTTTTTTGTACAATGATGACGACGCGATGAACATATTTTTATGAAGAAGAGAGCGTTTTTCTACTAAATATAGATGGAAAGTTTCGAAAGACATCTTATCATGATTATTGAGAGAAACACGTACACAAAGTCTGCATTTCGCTGTGTGTGGCATGGCAAGGACGTAAAATAGCCTTATCGTCATCGTTCATGTATGTACATATTTATGTATGTATGAGAGTACGAGTAGTGGGCTTATCATGATGGATAAGCTAGAAATAATTGTTTCTTTTAAAAAAAGATTCACAACTTTCGTTTTTTTCAAATATGTATATATCGATAGACCGATTAGTTGAATTATATAAGAAGACGGAAAATTATTGAATTTTGTTTTCCAAAATTTAACATGGGTCCGACCGAGTGTATAAAAAAGCATGCATACATACGTTAAAATTTCCTCTTTTTGAAATTCTGATGGTGACTGAATTTCCAAACATTTTAAAAAAACATACAACCTTTTTCACAGCCAACTTTGAAAAATTTGCAAATATTTCTACTCTGCTATACCTTGCATTAACATAAATAATATCAAATACGGGTAAAATATAATACTTGTCAAAGCAGAATTTACGTATTCTTCTTCTTATCTTCTCCTCATTCTAGACTAGATTTGACGGTTTGGTTTGCATCTCTCGTGGTAAAAAAAAACTTGTGGTGGTTCGTATTTATCATAGTGGTCGCAGATGAGTTATCTATTTTTTGGGGGGTTCACTCTGGGTATTTTCCCCTGGGGAAACTTTGATTTTGATTGATCTGCATGAGAGAATTGTGTATTTTGGGAATTGGTCAAGTATTTTGTGGTACGTTGATTTGATGATTTCCTAACATTTAAAAAGGGGATTGGCAGTGAGCTGGCTGATGACTTTGCTACGTACTAAATACATATCGTATATCGTGCACTTTCTTTTTTTTGGGGGGGAGGGGGGATTTTTTTCAGAAATTTCATCCTACCAAGTAGTCTACTAAAATGAATAAAGTGCTATCACAACTCAAGTCCAAGTGGTGAGTGAGTCACACGAGGTTTTTGAGAAAGAAATATTTTCACATTCGTTCTGATGTAACTTTTGTGTAATTTCTTCAAAATTTCTCGCTCAGGGAAAAAATGTCTCACGGTTTAAATTGGTTAGTAATATGTAAAAGTAAGTAGCTGAGCAGTAGCAGCAGCAAGGAAAGCATTTTCCCCACGCCTGACGCCACGCCATGACGCCACGCCACCCTATCTGGTCCTGCATGTCGCATACTATTTTAGTGCTTGAGGGTACACCTTACTACGAAATCCGACTGATGAGCATAATACGAAGCTGCTGGTTTACATGTTTTTATCTTATTTAGTGCCAAGAAAGAAACGAGGAGCTTATCGTGACCCGAGATGCTTTACGACTTTCTCTCCTACGTATGTACTTATCTTTGTACGTCTTTTTTTGAGGGGGTAAATAAGACGATTCTGATTTCTGTTCCTCTTTCCACCTCCACCACCAGGACCACCCCCACTACTACTCCTACTGACTCGTACGGGCTTTTTAGATTTGAGACCATTTATTTATGTACGTAAACTATTATATGCAACAACAACAACGGGAAGCAGCGCTACGTTTTGCTCTGGTATTTATGTATGTACTCACTCGCTACTAATTTAAATAGTGTTAGTTAATGAAGTCCTCCTCAACAATGTACAAGTTAAGTACGTACTCTAGCTTATCCTTCTTGTGGACATAACCTTCCTTCATTATTATCAACAACAATTATAAAGCTCTCTACTAAAGCAAGTCTAACTCTAACTCGTCGTCGTGTCTGAAATCTACGTGAGCATCTTTTTTGTTGGTTAGTTTTGGTTCTGATTTTTCAGGTGCTGCTCGTGTGTTTTGAAAAACGGACATGTTTTTCTTTGATTTCCTCTCTTGTAAATATGCAGAGGCCAATAATTTTTAGTTTTGCATGCACCATTTTCATTCGTTTTTAACATCATTCATTCCTCCTCCTCCTCTCGAAACCTCGTGAGACAAAGAAAAAAGAGTTTACGGGCCGGTGGCCACTGGGATGTATTTTAAAGTGTAGGAATTTTTCCAAATTTCTGCCAAGGTGACGGCGGAGAAGAATCTGTGAAAGAAAAAAATGTTTATATTATTATTATTTAGGAATATTTCACATGAAGTGGATATTTGCTAAGATCGTGGGGTCAGTGACCGACCATAACTCGTCAGACTTTTTCTCTTTTTCTCTCTTTTTCTCTCTTTCTCTCTCTCTCTGTTTAATATAAAAGTTTTGAATTAGAAATCTGGTGATTTTTAAAAGAATTATAATAACTAATTAATGTAAAAATAATTAAATTTAATTAAGAAATAATTAGTGATCATGGCGTGGGACAGAGTTTTGAAAATCTGTACACTGTGCCGAATTCCATGCAGCAAGAAAGGAAATTTTGATCGTCATTTTACAAAATATCATCATCCAAGTAATCCTGCAGAGTGTGTTGTCTCCGGTTGTGGTTGTCGTTTTAAATCGACCCAAGCTTTAAACCTCCATATGACAAAGGATCACCAGCTGCCAGATGCCCATGCAATTTTAGAAGATGGCCAAGTGCAAATCTGGGCAGAGAGGGTCAAGTTACAGCATAACAACGACCAGATTGGAATGTACGTTGGCAAATCCAAGTCGTACCACGCCTTCAGGGCAGCAAATTCACGCGACAATGAGGATTCTCAATGTGTTATAGTGTAAGTTTGGGTAATTTACATCATTAACTCCAGTTGTATGATAATTGAATTTGAATTGTTTATTGTTATGCAGGGACTTCGAATCTGAGGGCCTCTGCCAAGGGGACCATCGCAGCGCGAGAAAGCTGTTCCTTGTCGAAAGAGATGGACGTGAAGAGGGCGAGACTGATGAACAGCATAAAATGCGATTCAAGCTAAAAGTTTGGGCGCATAAAGTTTATGCGCGACAGCATTTCTTGAATCCGGTATACTCTGTAAGTATCTCTTATTAGTTTTATTAATTATTTGTAATAATATTTCAATATTTCATTGTTGTTTTAGAACTACCGATCGCAGTATAAGCTGAGTACAGAGCAGAAGGAAATGATTCATGATGCTATCCAAAAGTCAGACCTCAAGGACCAGTACTCAAAGATGCCACAACGATCCTTAATCTACCGTGAATGGAGAAAGTCAGGTTTGACTATTTCGATGTTCTGATGTATTATAATTTATGTACATTTGTTTCATGTTTTTAGCTGTTGGTCGGATTGCTAGAGAAAAGACAGCAGGATTTAAACCCTTGGCGAAATGGGAGGATGATGATGATGATAACGATGATAAGCAGCCACTCCGAGCAATTTTAGTGGAACTGGGCAAAACCCATAGCAGACTTGCAATCCGGGAACAGCTTGACAAACTTTCTCAAGTAAACACATAACCCTGTTTTTACTTCATTAAGAGGTTGGTATAATAGATTAATGAAAAGATTTTTGTGTCTAGGAGGAGAAGAATCGAGGTGCAGTTGGTTTGGGGGAAGTGGCACTCAAACGGGTTGGAAATAATTCCTGTGAAGATGACAATTTCATGCACACAAAGCGAAAGTCTGGCGGAGACAGCTCAGCTTCTTTTAACTAAAACTAAATTTTTTTAAAATTTCATCTGTTAACTTTTTCTTAATTAGTTAATTAGTTCATCAGGTAGATTTAGTGTGTTGCATACAAAATTCATAATTAAATGCAGAAATAAATGTAACGTATCATATTACAAATCAGTCCTACCTGTGAAAGATGTAGAGTGGGAGAGAAAACCTTTGGACTAGAATCCACGGAATGGTTCCAAAAAAGTAGAGTTGGATCGGGTCCTTTTCCACTTTTCGGATTTCAAGAGTCATAATCACCCACATTGTCAAGTTGGTTATCATCAAGAGCGTCACTATCTGGCGGCCTGGCTTGGTTCTGGAATGTTCGGGGAGGTTGATCCTTCGTCGCCCGACGTCAGAGATGAAGAGCATTTGCAAGATGATCTGGAGAATTGGGGGGTTGTTATTAAATACATTGGGCAGGGATAAGGTAAGTGGTTATCTTATCGAGTCGGTTACCTGCAGGAGAACGAGGCCCGATGTTCCAGCCACGAGGAGTGATGGGATGTCCAATGAGAGTCCGACAACAGTTCCAGAGATCAAGCTGAACAGGGCGTATGCAAACACGCCAAGGATGGAGACTCGGAGGAGCAAATCTCTCAATGGACTTCCATGATCGCCATGAAATCTGAGACGTCTCACTCTGAAAAACAGACAGGATTAATCAATTTACGGATTAATCAATCAATTTTAGCACGGATTTATGAGAATGAGTGAACTCTTACCTGATGAATCCAATTAGTGTCGCCAGAAATGAGAGGAGCAGGAGTCCCGCGTGAGAACAGTCGGCCAGATAGATGGCCAACCATTTCAACTGCTTTCCCTCGACGAGGACAAAGAACAAGATGAGACAAATGAGGGCCGTGACGAGGAGGAGGAGTCCACAGAAGAGACCTTTGCTCGCTCCGACACAGTCGACCGGTCCGGTGGGAGAAGTTCCTTCACCTCCGGCTGCATATCGGCTGTACGAATCTGCCCCTCCTTCCCATTCCTGTTGACCTTCGTCACCTTCTTCTCCATTGCTAAATAAATGTAAGTATGGACAAAAATCAGATAATCGTTACATAAGACGACTTATGTTTTTTTGGGGGTCCTATTTATTTAACTGATCATAATTTAATACTTTTTTCCCCCATAATTAATACTTTGTCCCGTAGACTTTCTCTTATAATGAAATCCGCGTTGACCATAACAGAGAAAAAATTTTGTCTTGAGAGAAACGCAAGTTTGGTTGACCAGCAAAAGATTCCAAGGCTAAGAATCGATACAATTTGTAAAAGTTTTTGAAGATTTTAAATTTTAAAGCGATCTTAACACTTCTGGCAAAATCGATTACTTATGGACAACGAAATACTTTATTAAGAAGTATTTCTGCAAAAAACAGTTATCATGGTCTGGACTAGTACCAAATTCTGATCACTTAACCATTCCCCTGTCTTTTTCTGCTCACGTTTTTGCCGGGATATTGCGCCCAATATTTCTCCACATGACAAACACGACAGCCGCAGCGATCAAACTGTACTCAATTACGACGGGGAAGAGGTATGGCGCCGCGTCGTCGACGACAGGCCCCATGTACATGGTCCTCTCGCAGGTCGTGTTGAGAGGGAGTGGCGTCGTCGTGGTCCCATTCGAGGTGAAAGATGGGAGCGGAGTTGGGAGTCGGGGCACATTTCCGTATCCGTAATTATTGTTGTATCCATTGTCGTATCCGTTGGGGTCTGGTGTCGTGGAGGAGGATTGATTCCAAATTCCTAGTCGGGCATACAACAGGCGGTTCCCCTCTGAGAAAAAACAAGCAAAATTAATACTCGTTTTCATTACGAGGACGATATTTTAAATCAGTGGCATCGGAAGCTTGAGAGGACAATGCCCCCACGGTTGTTCGATATCCGCATCATCTGCCCATCTTATATAAACCCATCCCTTCCCCCCCTATCCTACAATGTAAACGTCCCCACAGCTTCTTCCGCGGCCACTGATCAATCTAATTTCTGCCCGCACCTCGAATCATATAGTCCTGCGAGACGCCGCCGTAATGCTTCGTGATCTCCTTGAGACACTCTCGAACCAAAATCCTCAACCAGACGCAGAGATTCGTGGCGACAACGTGCATCAAGCCAAATCTCGCAATGATCTTGAACTTATGAATGCGTAGCTGAAAGATAGAAAAAAAGACATTTAGGTTAATAATTTTCACTCCAGTTTCACTTTCACTTTCCCAGCGACGAAACCATTAGAGGAGAAGGACAATATTCACTCTAAAAATTAGCATCGACCGAAAACGTCACGGGATCGGATCTTACCCTGGCATTAATGAAGATGAAGTACATTTGCATGAACGTGAAAATCAGTTGAAGGAGGGGATTCACTCCGCGGAGGATGTTGTAGCAAGAGGATCCCATCGGAATCTCAAAGAAGGAGCCGAGTTCCAGGCCAATGTAAATCATGGCACCGAGTCCGAATGCTGGAAGGAACATGATAAAAGCCATTAACTCAAAAAACTCTACGGTGAGTGAGGGGAACACCAAACTTTATGTTGCGTTAAATCGGTCACGTCCCTGCTCAATGAGACCAAAACTGTCGAACACAGTGGCAGAGTCGGACGGAGGCAGACTTGGGGAATTCAGAAGTTACAAACATTACCGTCGTCAGAGCAGATTTTCTCGAGAATAAGTCTTAACAACAATATTTAGTTGGGGATTTGCGCACAATTCGGGGAGAGTTCTAAAAGTGAAAAGGGCTCAGAATGGAGGTTGACGAGCGTATGCTCGCAGATTTTTGGGAAACAATCGATCACAAATTTAATTAGTAGAAAATTTGCGAAATGGGTACGTTTGGCAGAGATATTTGCATCCGAAGAGGAGAAAACGCGCTCTAAACTTCTCTACACTTTCTAAACTTACTGCACGCTTTCTCCTCTTCGGATGCAAATATCTCTGCCAAAAGTGCCCATTGGGAGATCCTGTCTTTCGCAAATTTCATCCTAATTAAATTTGTGACACTAATTTGCTCAAAATCGGAGAGCATATCATGGTCAACCTCTATTGTCAGTTTTCCAAAATTTCCCGAACATTTCTAAAATTCCATAAATTTTCCGCAATTGCCGAAAACAAACTAAACTTTCCCAACAATACATTAAGAAAATCCGGGTTTGCTAACGTTCTCAGCATGGAGTCATGATAAGAGAAAAGCAGACTTACCCAGAGTTCCCATCCTGAGGAAAAATGAGCCGTGAGCAGTATCGCTCTGACTGGTTTTGGGTTTACAAGAAGCACTCTTTGCCCCACAGGATGCAGCCGAGGAGGGTTCGGCTGTGGCTTTCTCTTGTCCTTGCGACGGTGCTGGGCCGCCCGCCTCGCCAGACCCGTCGTTCAAATTCACATCCTTCGACTCACTCCCCTTCCGGATCCCCTTCAACATCCCCTGCAAAATTAATCGCCAAAAAATTGTCAGATTTTCGCCAACATTTCCACCACCAAAATAATGATGATGATGACACGGTTAATTTGCACGACAAGTATTTAGTAGACAGAGATTAAACGACAATCAATCCCCCCATTAAAGACTATAGCAGAGTGTATTATTATTAGTAGCATATACATTTGCCTCGTGTTCTCTGGTAAGGTCTGCGACTTAATTCTTAACGGTAAGTGTAATTGTCCCGCTTCATTAAGGATTAGTTTAGACGCCTAATTCTCCCACTTTCTCCGAGTGGCGAATAAAAGTCGACAAGTTGTGAGAGTACTTCGCCCTCCTAATGGCGGTTCCAGGGTGCAATAACAATCTTCAAATTGAGCATATAAGGAAGTAAGTAGCTTAGGTCGACTATAGGCAGGCAGTGGCCGCGGAAGCACAGAGGGGACAATATCCCCATCTTATATAAACCCGTCCCTCCCCTATCCTAATGTCCCCACAGCTTCTTCCGCGGCCACTGCCGACACACATAAAACTTTTACATGGGTATACATATTATCAGACTCAGAGCGAGAGAGCGAGGTTAAAAGTCACACATTCCAAGTGGTGGTCTGGTCTGGTAATAAGTCGTCGCCGACTCGATAAGAAAAGTCGAGTCAAACCATGAACAAAGCAAAGTTTACTTTTGTCTCATTCCCGTCCATTAGTGGAACGAGTCGGAAAAGGACAAACTTGCCTCACTCAGTCTGATGAAGGATAAATATATCAAATTATTATTGAATTCTGACGACGGCGAGACACATCCTGCCAGAAAATTATTATTTTTCGGAGAAGAAAAGGTAAAAGAGAGAGAGAGAAGGAGAGATTTTAGTAAATAACTTTGAAGCGTGTAATAATCATGCAAAATAATAACACGAACAAAACAAAACTTTGGCACAAACCTCATTCTGGATATCAAGTCTTTCTCTCCCCGCTACGTCATACTTTGCCTTGTGACGACTCTCCTGTCAGGAGAAAAGGGAATTAAAATAAAAATAAAACATGACAAAAGAAAAGAATAGAGCAGTGTTAGGAGAGGAAATGGAAAATATTCTTAGAATAAATAGTTCCAAATAGACGTGACTGTCCAATGAATGTCCTTTAAAAATAAGCTGAAAAGTCAACACACAACAGAACTGAATATGGACACAAGATGAAGATTTACTTGTTTGTCCAGGCGTTTAGTAAATATTTTCAATGACACACTCATCCAGTGGCCGCAGAAGCGGGGAACAATGTCCCCACGGTTAATCAATGTCGGCATCATCTCCCCACCTTATACAAACCCGTCCCTCCCCCCATCCTGTAATGTTAATGTCCCCCCATGTCCCCACAGCTTCCGCGGCCACTGCTCTGTGCATATCTCACTCGCTGCGTATCACTGTGTATCTAAGGAGTGGGTCAGGTCGGGCTTAAATAAGTCCTCGAAAATTGTCCAGGATTAAATAATCCCCACGTTATAAATACTCTCAAGATTTGATTTAAAGAGGAAGGAAAGGAAGAAACCTATTGAAATTCTAGGCTGTCTGGATTTCAATATTTCACAAAATCCAGCCAACTCAGCCGAATCGTGAAATGTGGTCTGGTTTGGTCGTTGATGTGTGTGTGTAGAATAGAAGACAAATCTTGGACAATGGCCAACGGGGGATGAGATTGCCTTCATTACGAGAACAACCAGGACAATGGGTACGTTCGTCAGTATCAACCACGGCATAAAAAGTCCCTTAAGGGCTGCACCAGTGGCGTGAAAGAAAGAAAGAAAAAGTCAAGATTTTTCCTCCTACCTGCAAGAAAGATTGCTTTCTTTCGCCCGACTTGCTCGCGGACGCGTCTGCCGCCACCTCCTCATCCGTCCTCGCCTCCCGGGCACTCGCCGCCTCCTTGTTCTTCTGTCGCTTCTTTTGAGACGTGTCGTGCAGGAGGTAGCAGAACACGTAGAGGAAAAACAGAATGCTCCCGCTGTACAAGTAGGTGAAAATTGCCTGCGGACGAGAGAAAGAAAGAGAAAGTCACACATTTTAGAGGTGAATCTCCCCCCGGGGAAAAAAAGAGTTTCTACATACGTATTTATGCAAATTTCGAAATTTCTTACCTCAAAGAAGTGGAGGGGTACATTGAGAGTGATGACTTCCGAAAGTAGGAACGCCAAACATACCACGACCGCCAGTTTGCAGTACAGCGCACTCGTGATGATGAATAGAGATGTTCTGCAGAGAGAGAAGGCAAATTAATTACTTCCGTTGTTAGTATGATATTCTGTTGTTATTTACGCAGCCAAAACATAACACACGACGCAACGTTGCGTGTACAAAAAGTGAAAAAAGATGTTTCTGTGTCATTACATAATCATCATCAATGAATGTCGCCATGATACTTTTTCGGATGCAGAATTTCATGGACAGAATGTTAATGAGAAAAATGCACTCTTTTTCGTGTAATTTCCTCCATAATTGCGACAAATAATGAGCTTAACGTATGTATGTAAAGTAGACACACACGGTTGTAATTTTCACCGGATAAAGATCCAATCTTCTCCTGAACGAACATTACCATGCATGCATATGTTCCCGTTTGAGGGAACAAAGCCAGCCCGAAAACCGGGTGGTGTGTCTGAACCGAGACGAAAACCGACATTCAATTACATACCCACGCCATGGATGGCATGTTTTCCTATCCACGGAGGAATTCGAGCAACAACCACATCAAATATTATGACTAAACAGGAGAGAGAAAGAGAACTGGAAAAAGTCTGCCACAAAGTTTCGAAATTCCAGACAATTTAGTGAAATATTTAGTCCGTTCAATTTAACGTGTCCATTTCTTTCTTTCTTTTATCTGTGGCGCATTCTTTTCCGTGAACAATTCCGTGTTGTCTATTGTCCCGTAATATATAATTCCGGGTAGAAAAATTCTATGTAAATTATTATATATGTAAATATACCGATTATACTCTTTGGACGGGGAATCCATCGTCGTAAAATCGTCCCTCGGTGACAATAATGACGTTACAGAGGTACAAAAATGATACGTAAAAACATTTAAAATTCGGGAAATATTTATACCAACGAGAGCCACCAAGATCTATCTAATTACGTAAAAACATGGGGCTATTAAAAATATTTATGTATAACAACGAGAGAGATCTATCTAATGCACCCTGCTTGCTGTGACTGAACTGACTGGCTCATTTTTATCGTGAAAACTTGATATATTTTACTTATCCTGAGAGTTGGATGTATGCATCTCTAGCTCAATCTCTATCATCACCATCCTCATCCATCCATCCATCTCTAACTAGCCATCTCTTGTATAAGAGAGAGAGCCTAAGTCCAATAAAAAATTGGCCTGTTCTCTCGTCTCATCTCATGTCCAGGCAGTTAAGCGACCCGACCGAGCGTCGTATGTACCACTGACGAGCTCGCAGCTTAGGGAATAAGAAGACGAAGACGAAATGAAGGCAGCATTTTGAGATTGGATTGGATTTGTTGAAAAGCCTGCTGCTGGCGACGACGACGACGAAGAAGAAGCTGTCAGTAGAGCTTTATTTGGTGGTACTCGTACGTATGTATGCCACTGCTGCTGCTGTTTTGTTTCTGACCAGCTTTAAATAATGCCGAGCTGAACTGGGATACATTACATTACATTACAGAGGAGGTTTTGAATGCATGGACAATCAAAACATGAAATCCGGTGGCTAATGAACTCCATCCTATGATATCGTATAAGCGGTGGAGTTGTTTTGTGAGAGTGGTTTGGTTTCTGGTTTGTTGTGCTGTTTTGCCCTATGCACATAGTACTGGTTGTGGTTACACAATGTAAATAAATAGTGCAAAAGTAGTCGAGGCATGCATAGCATGCAATCGGTCTACTTGTTGGTGTGGTGGATTGGATGAATCGATGTACATACGTAAATATGTGGGGAGCAAGTTATTATTTATAAGCGCTGGGTTCTGTTCTGGTGGGTTGCGAAATGCGAAATGTTTTAGTGGACGGAATGCAGAAAAAGAAGAGGGTTGTTGCATAATGTGGACTTTTTCGTGGCTGTGTTTAAGTGCATAATGTGGACAAAGTCGTAGTGCGTAAGTAAGCGACACTAGAAAAATATGAAATCTAACGCCTGCCTGTTGGGGTAGGTAGATGACTGACAAGCTGAACTACGTATGTACATACAAGCTATTCTTGGAAACCGGTCCGTCCCCCTAATTACTCAAGATGGTACAAATTATGCAAATGAGAGGAGAGAATCGTCACCTATTGATGACGATAAGGTTGAGCAGCGTATCCTCTGGGGGAGGGAGTGGGAACTCTTCGGGCGCATTGCCCGGCCCCGTAGTCTCCACGACCGTGACGGTCTTGACCTTTTTCTCCTCTTTGGGCTTCTTCTCCTTGGACTTGCCCTTCTTTTCGGCGAGGGGGAGGGTGGCTGCCTCGGAGAGCTTTTTATTATACCCCTCGACCTCCGACTCCACCGTCGCCACGTGGACTTGCTGCCCACCACCCATGTTGCCCTCCGCCAACAATGAGGTGGGGTAGTACTCGTGGGAACTCAGCGCACTGGTGGGAACACTGGGGTTCGAAAAATGAGCAGTTTTTCCGACAGATTTCGAAACAGCGGAGCTTAACAACAGCAGTGGAACAACAGAGAGGAGAACTCGAAAGAACGAGAAGAGGTTTCCAGGGGCTAAACCCGAATACTGAAGAGACTGGAAAATGGCTTCAGAGTTGGTTTCCAAACAGAGAGCACTGCGTCGGTCGTTGCTCCAAAAGTAGAGAACACAGCCACCACAGAGAGAGAGAGAGTCGGTGTGGGGAAAGTGGTAGTGGTGGGTAATATCATAAGCAGTGGCAGTGGCAGTGGCGATGGTGGTGGTGGTAGTGGCAAGGAAAAGGGAGAGACTTCGATCTTTCGAGATGAGAAACCCGCAGACTCCAGTTGTCATGACGACTAAGGAGCTCCCTCCATCCACACCACGGGAGGAGGAGGGGATAGGGAAACACCCTCCGCCATAGCCCCGATTCCCACCGAAGGTTCAGTTCAAGCTACCCTCCACAATAACAACAACAATCCACCACCACCACCGCCGAGGTCCATGCACTCCTGCGCCCCACCAGACTTTCTCCAGCGTCGAACAATTAGACCAGTCAGTCAGCAATGTGAAGGGCTTCGGGATGTGTGGATGACCAGCGGGAGGTAGTCGATGGATGGATGGATGGATGGATGTCTGGCTGTGCGTGCGTGGACGTGGAGGCTCCTCCGCGTGGAGAAAGTTTTCATTCTCACTTTCACCCAGGCAGGAAAACATGCCCTGATTCGTGAAGAATGTTTTCTCACGGAAAACTCGACACCTGCTGACGCCTGGCCTGATCTAGTCCAACTTTTCTCCAACCAACCACTTCTTGTCCGGTCGAACCATTTCCGGACCATTACGCTCTCTGTCCAACTTGTCTCGAAAATTAGGAGGGAAAAAGATTACGATCCTTATTCCCACCATGAAGCAAGCAAGTAGCAATTACTCCAAGCCCAGAAGCAGCAAAAGGAGCGGTCTAACCATACATACATATGCATAGTAACAAGACCCAGCTGCTTATCTCTCAGTGAAATCAGGTAGTCGCGTCGACGACGACGTCCCACCATGCACCACGACCAGAGACACTCCCTCCCTCCCTCCTTACTTTCTAAATATGAATGCACACATATGCACGTCGAGGGTGCAGCAGAGAAGAAAGCCTCCCCGACATCCTTTTTGGCCGCTTTCCCAAATTATATATTAAATAAATGCGTCAAACCTTCCTCGTAATGATCCCTTGAAGCTGAAGAAAACCTTAAATTCAACTATTGTTGTACATACATAGCTTGTTTGAATTTGATTGAATTGCTCCCAGCCATCGCTCAACGACCCCACCACACCACCAACTTCCCTCCACGACGGAAGGAATTTTTGCGTCGTGTAGGGTTCCTGCTGCTCCTACTTTGGGAATAGGATCGATTTTCAACAACCAACAAGCATATGAGCACTTGAGTTGCGTGACTCTTGCCCAAGTAAACTTTCCCTTCGACGAGGACGAGGACGATTGAACCTCTTTACTCACCAGGCAAGCGACCATTGCATTGGGCTCATCTGCGCTTCGTGTTAGAAGGCTGATTATTGTTCAAATTCTATCCCCAACCAAATCGAGAGGAAGACAGAGCCAATTTTATCCGTGTGAGAGGAGGAGAAAGGAAGAAGAAGCAAAATCTGACGACGACGACGACAACCAAGCAGCTCACTCGCTCTAGCCGAAATGGATGGAAAGCTTCGAGGGGAAAGTATCCCAGTTCTGGTTGAAGCTCGGGCTCGAGAGCAACTCTGCTCGGAGGCTCTCTATTTTTCGACCAAAGTGAGACGATTCTCCCCTCCTTCCTTCCATAAAAGTCATAAAACGCACAGAAATACAATAAAATAAAACCGAGGTTTCCAATCCGATCATGCAATGATCAAACCCAATTGGATGTATGTGAATGGATGCGTGTCTTGGTCATATTGGTCTGTTGTGTTCCCGAATAATGCAATTGGATTATGCAATGTATGCAGAAAATGGTGATTTCCTTTCCTGCCTGCTTGCATGGGGAGGAGGCGGTGCGTTGGTGGGTCTCCCTCTTTTCTAAGCGGATACGGAACCTTCAGCAGGGCAGCGGCCACGTGTCCGTCACCGGAACATACATAAATATACTGGGACGATGATGATGGTGATGCATTCTAAACAGAGGGACAACCAGGGGCCGCGGAAGCGTGAGGGGACAGAGGGACCCACGGTTGTTCGATGTTGGAATCATGTCCCCATCTTATATAAACCCGGCCCTCCTCCCTTATCCTACAATGTTAATATCCCCAGATGTCCCCACGACTTCCGCGGCCACTGGGGGGGGGGCAACATTCATATGCAGCCCAGTGGCCGCGGAAGCTTAAGGGACAATGTCCCCACGGTTATTCGATGTCCGCATCATCTCCCCATCTTAAATATATAAACCCGGACCGCCCCCCCTTATCCTACAATGTTTATGCCCCCACACCTTCTTCCGCGGTCACTTCCGGGACACCATGCATGCATATGCAGCCTTTCTCCTCTATCTGAATAAATGCACGTCACTACTTTCCTTCAGCTTTTCTACCTCGGAAAATGTTTTTCATGCGAAAACGCATCCCTCCAAGTTTTCCTTCTCCCACGCGTGTTTCAGTCCGTCAGTCAGAAATGAAATATATTTTGGTGACACTTTTGCTGCTCAAATAATCAAGAAAAGTTAGTTTTGGGAATTTACTTTTCCAAGTTGTTATTACTTAACTTGAAAACTGCCCCTGCTGGCTGTCCTCCTCGTGTACATTGCATTACTTCCATTACACCATGCAGTGGAATTAATCGAGGAAATGGAAAATTGAATCAAAAGTTGAACGACTTCATTTTCTTTCACATTTTGTGAAAAAAGATTGCCGAATATATTTGTAAAAGTCAATTTCCAACTGGAAAGTAAATTGCTTTTCTATTCATACGAGGGAAAAGTAACTGTGTCGCGGAGATAAAGGAGGAAATTTAAGGAACAGCGGCAGCTTGTCCGTTCGTGCATAGCTCGCAAGTCAATCTACGTGTATACGAGTACATCTAAGGCCAGTGGCCGCGGAAGGAGAGAGGGACAATGTCCCCACGGTTGGTTATTCGAGGTCCCCAACATCACGTTGTCCGATTTCCCCAACGTTTGCCCATCTTATAGAAACCCGTCCCTACAATGTTAATGTCCCCACAGCTTCCGCGGCCCCGGATTTTATCCCGTCCGTACCACTGCGTGTTCCCTTTTATTAAAATCATCCAGTGAAAAGACCAGCATAAAGTTGTTGTTGGCGAAATGTGTGTACGTATAGGAATCCTTGCTGCTTGGCATGAAAAACGTATAAAAAATGCATTTTGAACGCTCTTTTACTTTACTTACACCGTGGGACTACTGACTGCGAGGAGGAGACGCACAAGAAGAAAGTAAATACGTGTACATAAGCCAAGTGGAAATGTACGTACGTACGTAAATACGAGGGGGTGAGGTGGGGTCGAAGTGGAATATTCCGAATTTATGCTAACGGCTCTGCTTTTCCTGACTGGTGAAAACTCTCGGCTGGGTCTCTTATAATAATTATGTATTAGTTGGTTCAAACCAGTTTTCCTTGCATTGCGAGTAAGTAAGTGAACATGAAGCAACTTTTTTTATCTCTAAAGAAGAAGAAAGAAAGAAAGAAACGAGGGTTGGTTGGTCCGCATTGGTGGCGGAACAGGGGGACATTATCCCCCCAGAAATTCAGCAATCCCACAATGTTAATGTCCCCCTCTGTCCCCCCCAACTTCTGATGCCACTGTTGGTCTGCTGCTGGGTTGGGGACTGACTCAAAAGAGGAGAGAAAGTGCACGAGGACAAGGAGAAGAAGAACACAAGGACACAATGTTTCCTGTCGGTTGGTGCGAGTCCATTAATCCAGTGGGAGAATTAATTCAGGAAATTTTCCTCATTTTACTGCCACGTTAACCGTTCATGTCTGTTTTGTTCGGTGTTTATATACCGACTTAACAAGCACCATTATTATGCAGCGAGGAAGGAGGATGTGAATACAGTTTAAAACTTGTGAATACATCTGAAATTATGGTGCTGGATGGATGAACTTATGCAAATCGGTGGGTTGACGATAATAATTGGACCAAGCTTGCTATGTTGTTAATATAAGCATGCATATCAAATAATTATCGATCCATCCCGATACACATCGCACGAAATGAAATGATTATAATTATATTTGGATGGATGGATTTTGGACTTTTTTTACATGCATGAAATCGTTCCACAGTTCGAAATTGGTATTTCAAAGAAGCATTTGTAATGGGTTACATTACAGATAAATATTATTGCCATCTAGCATTTTTATCGTTGTTGTCATCTAAATGTAGGAAAAAAAATTGTCCCAAGTTGTCCCAAAACTTGTTCTTTCAAGTAAATTCTCTCTTTTTTATGTAAATCCTGTCTTCTTCTTGAGAAGAAGAATGTGTCGCAGGATCATTGCGACGATGATGATGATGACGACGATTATGTTAACGACGACAGTTGTAAATAGTGCAACGCTTAGATATTTTTCGTGCCGACGTTTGTCATTCGGTACTTGGAAATTTATTGTGCGAGATATTTACTAATAGTGCGATGGTGTGAAGTGTAACCCTCCGATTAGGCTTAAATTTTAAAATTAGGTGGTCCAAGCCAATACAACTAACGTTTCTTCAGGCAGTTTGTGCGATGGTGAGAGTTACTCAAAATATTTGAGGTCAAAGTTCAAAAAACGGCCAACTTTTTTCAGGCGGAGTGAGAAAACTCCACTTCCAGTCTCTTCCCCTCGCTTTGATTTTCACTCCGAAAAATAATTCATTTCAACAATTTTAAATTTAATTTTTTTTGTAGAAAAATATTAATTATTCATTGTACATGTGACCGTATGATTATTTTCATAAAAGTCCACAAAACAATACGATAAACTGCACCAGCTGAATTTGATGAATGTGGGATTGCCACAATTCAGGTCGCAACTAATATTTTTTTTCTCTAAGACATACGTCGTTTACATTTTTAAACTCGGGCTTTTCTTCATCACCCCATAATCCGCTCGAGTACCAACAATATCGAATCATTGGAACAAACACAGGAGCACTTAAAATATAAATTAATTGGATATTAGAACCAACGCGTTCGAAATGGAAAGCAAGTTAAGTTTTTCCATGTTTATTTACCGTTGGCGAATTTATAAATTAACTTTTATGTAAATTTGTACTAGAAATAAGTAAAAATCGCACTTATTTAAGCATGAAGGCGTATGCGTGAGCGAGACACCTGCAAATCAAAGCGAGGGGAAGAGACTGGAAGTGGAGTTTTCTCACTCCGCCTGAAAAAAGTCGGCCGTTTTTTGAACTTTGACCTCAAATATATTGAGTAACTCTCACCATCGCACAAACTGCCTGAAGAAACGTTAGTTGTATTGGCTTGGACCACCTAATTTTAAAATTTAAGCCAAATCGGAGGGTTACACTTCACACCATCGCATTGTAAGTATAAGGTGGATGGATGTAATGACTTACTTGGCATTCTTTGGGAACTTGGTGAGAGCATAGTTGCAACACCACTTTCTGGTGGAGGGTTGCTGAATCCAGATGAACGAGTGGGGTCGATCTGCCGCCTCCGTGCGGTGAGACCCACTCCCATCCGGCTTTACCTAAAGTTTAGGAAAGAAAGTAAACATTAGATGATTAAATCTGATTATGAAATAACTTGGTCGTGCGGTTGGGGGGATGAGGATAGGAAGGATGCCTCCATTTCCCCCTTCTTAATGTGTTAATGGACTAAAATATGGGTGTATTTGGTGCAGTGGCTGCGCAAGGAGAGAGGGACAATGTCCCCACGGTTGTTCGATGTGGGCATCATCTGCCCATCTTATATAAACCCTGGCCTCCCCCCATCCTACAATGGTAATGTCCCCACGGCTTCCGCAGTCACTGGTCATTAGTTGTCTATGTATTCAGTGGCCGCGGAAGCGTGGGAACAGACAGACCATAGTTGTTCGATGTGCACATCATCTCCCCATTTTATATAAACCCCTCCCTCCCCTATCCTTCAAAGTTAATATCCTAAAATGTTCCGCGGCCACTGATTTTCCACGCAGGTTTGGGATATATCTTTTAAAAATGGTATAAACGCCCAATTTCAACCATTAAATAAAATCGGCCTCGTTTTGTTGCTCTCTCATCTCCAGCTGGGCTTTAGAATCCGTGAGTCATCTCTGCTGGACTCGACCGGATAATAAGATTGCATGTTAGTGAACGTACATATTTGCTCCTCCATCCGTGCCTTAAATGAGGCTAATCCCACGTGCAAATTTGATCTAGGTGTGTCCTGTCCTGCCAAAAGCAGTATGTGGCACTCCGCCAAGAAGACATGCTTCCCTTAACTTCACTTAACCGTGACTTTTTCGTTCCCATGTGTGTGACGAAGAGATGAGAGCCAATTTCCCGTCGCAATTCGGTTGATGCGAGGTGTAAAAGTGGTGATAAAATATGAAGAGGTCTCGCACTCACCAAATGGGATGAAATGAAACTGTGTGGAGAAAGGTGAGCGAAATATTTCTGACAAAACCAATTTGTCATAAAATGTGTGCCAGCCACAGCCACAGCCACGTATGGAATAATTCTGCTGTCACACGTTGTCGACAAGTTTGATTGCAAATGAATCGCATATATACAAACCTAAATTTAGGAAGAGATGGATGGAAATAGTAATGGATTCCACCATTTCACTACTCTGTTGCAGTGGCCGCGGAAGCTGTGGGGGCATCTGGGGTCATTAACATTGTAGGAGAGGGGTTTGTTAAGATGGTGAGATGATGGGGGCATCCATCGAACAACCGTGGGGACATTGTCCTCCCGCGGCCACTGTTTTTTTTGGTAAAACCTGCGTACGAGTGAAAGTGATGGCATGGATGGCGTGTGTCACCTATAAAAATAATTTCTGATTCTTTCACCCATCTCGTTGCGGATAATGGGCCGTCGGAGACGATATACGCAATCCCCACGGTCAGCTCAAATGGGTTTTACAAGTACCGATATTTTCTCCCTCAATGTAAACAAGGGAAAGATTTCTTCCTCGTGGCGGGACGTCGTTTGTGTGACCAAGCAGTGCGTGCTTTGTGTGTGTGTACTTTACTCATCTACTTTCTTTCACTCGCAAATGGTAGTTTTCTTCCCGGAAAGCTTTTTACTGGAGGGAAGGGAAGTATGTATGATGATGCAATTGCGTAATGGTTTTTTCAACTGGGAGAGAGAGTCCAGTGGAAAAAATGTGCGTTTCGAGAGCAATGGCCGCGGACAGGTCAAGGGACAATGTCCCCACGGTTATTCGATGTCCGCATCATCTCCCCATCTTACATAGGTAAACCCCTCCTTCCCCTATCCTACAATGTTAATGTTACTGTCCCCCTATGCCCCCACTGGTTCCGCGGCCACTGACTATTTCGAGCCACTCCTCCTCCTCCTCGTTGGTCGGAGTTCATTCAAATTAATGGCCAACAACAAACAACGACAGAGAGAGAGAGAAAAGTTGATATTTTGTTACTTTCTAGTCAGAAAATAATGCATTTCCTTTCACTTTGCACTCGCTGGAAACAAATAGGAGACGAATCTCGATGAAAAGAGGGCTCATCTTCTCTCCCATATTTCTGCCTGACGTTTTACACGGCATTGTCCTCCGTGACAATGAGGAGAACAGAGGAAGAGAGCAACCTGATATGAGGGACGAGGAGGTGAACTAAATCCGACAGTTATGAATGTCAAATCCGAGTGATTTACTGGGGATGCACCCCTTCCAGTCTCACGTAGAGCAAGCTGGCTATCTATCCATGCATTTCTTTCCGGGAGAGGATTTAAGGATCGGATTTGGTATGGCACAAATATCAATATCAATACCATGAGTCACGATTCAAATAGCAATTTCATATTTCAAAGGATGATAAATGAGTGAGAAATTGGTTCCTTGTACGACAAGGAAAGTCCTCTTTTTTTAATTCGGAACCTTCAATATGAGAAAAAAAGTGTATGATTTGACTCCTGGGTAGCGTTTGTAGTTCGGCGAATCTGTGTAATATTTTGCAATAAAAGTCGTCTTTTTATGATTCTGAATATTTAATAGATGAAATAAACAAGGTCCCTAAAAAGGGGAAATCTTAGTGAGGGAGTGCAATCACAACTAATAAATAAAATTAGATTGAAGAATTTTTGCACCACCGCTCTCGGTACCATTTTTACTGGATGCAGTATAAATTTTTCTTTGCATACGCATGAATTCTTAGTTTTATTGAATAAATTGAGGAAGGAATACATTTTTACTGTGTAGTGAACGAGAAGTGGGTTAAATTAACTGAGGTAGATATGTAAGATATGATGGCTAAATAATTATGAGCTACGTATTTGTTTAAAAAAATATACAAATTTTAATTTGATATATTAATTTGGCTACTCTATGCAAAATCATCGAACCTTTTGAGGGAGCAAGTGTTCTATTTAAACGATTAATGCTTCCAGTAAAAATGGTACCGAGAGCGGTGATGCAAAAATTCTCCAATCTAATTTTATTTATTAGTTGTGATTGCACTCCCTCACTAAGATTTCCCCTTTTTAGGGACCTTGTTTATTTATAACTTTTAATTGGGTGATTAGATTCTCCATTGGATGACTGCATTGCACTACCCCTTTTCAGTAGTTTGGCCCGGAATAATTTTATTGAATGCTGGGTGTTTAAAATTGAATAAATCCGTCATTTCTTAACCGATTTATATCATTTTGGTCAAAATGTCCGGCCTAGATTACTAAACACCAAAAGACCTGATCTGGAGGTGCAAAACCAACAACAACAATTTCACGCAGTTTACCAAGCATGTTACAGAAGCAACGATTAGTTGTGCTGTTTACAGTTTTGAATGCAATTTGTTTTCAATTTATTAGTCTTGCGTCGTTGTCAATGACAATGATTCGTAGCACGAGCAGGAATTTCTGAACTTCAAATTGGAATAACTAAGCCAATTCTTAACGGATTTTGATATATTTATACTTAAAATTTTCGGGATAAACTGCCCTACAATTCGTGGGTATCAAACTGTTGATAAAGTTTGCTAGTAACTAGCAATAATTACAAATGTGTTTCTAAGGCTACATTTTTGCCCATAATTCCGGTCAAGATCACGTAATCGCTTAGTCGGATCAGATCCCGTTTCTATATTATGTAACAATAATCGGTGCAAAATTTCATCAAAATCGGTTGAGAAATGACTGAGATATCGCAGATGGTCACTTTTTTGGGGTGGGTCAAATGCATACTTAGTAATTTTTTTCGTTGTTAGGTATTTGCCTCACTAAGAAAAATGTATGATTTGACTCGTGTGTATCTTTTTTAATTCGGGGAATCTGCGTAATATCGAATATTTTGGAACAAAATTCGTCTTTTTTAAAATTCTGAACCGTTAATATGAAAAAGGTATAAGATTTTTGATTCGACTCGTGTGTGTCGTTTTTAATTCAGTGAAAATCTGCACAATATCGGATATTTTGCAAAAAAAGTCCTATTTTTTAAAATTCCGAACTTTCAACATAAGAAAAAAGTATATAATTTGACTCTTGCATCGTTTTTTATCCACTGAATCGGCATAATATCTGATATTTTATCCCTTTACAAGAAAAGAATTGCTAATCCGATCACCAATCTGTCGTTTTTGAGTATTCATCCCTCCATTATTTCTATTATTCTGAAACACTTTACGAAATACAAGTGCAGAGGATGGGAAACTGAGAGGGTTTTAATTCCCCTCTGGGGATAACAATGCAACGTCATATGTACAATGAAGGATTCGAGTTTTATTGTATGTGCCATGGAAGGAACAAAAGTCATAAATCAGTCAATTTCGGTGGTGCAAGTGTGTGTATTGCTTGAAATGATGCCCATCCAGGCAAGCAAGGGAAAGACAATATTTTACCAAATACAGCACAGCACACACACTTTAACAACACAATAAAATTTTTCCACCAAACTAGACGAGAGACAAAGATTGAGAATGTGAGGGAATAGGGCGACGCACAATGCAATCTTTCCCATTACATGACAGATTTAATCATGCCTGGTTTCCTCATCAATGTCCAATTCTTCTACGACTAGCAATGCGATAGTGTCTAGTGTAAGACTCGGATTTGGTTGAAATTTTGAAATTATGCAGGACAAGTCAATAAAAAGCCATTTCTTGACGCAGTTTGTCCGATGGTTGGAATTTGTCAAAATATTTGAGGCCAAAGTTGAAAAGTTTGCGATTTTTGTGACTGAAAGTGGAGTTTGCTTGATAAAAATCGACAATTTGTCAACTTTGACCTAAAATATTTTGATGAATTCCAACCATCTCACAATCTGTGTCAAAAAACGTTAGTTATCCTGACTTGTCCTGCATAATTCCAAAATTTCCCCAAAATCTGAGTCTTACACTTGACACCATCGCATTCCAAGTAGGGTACGAATTGTGGTATACCGACCAACCGGCACCCTAAATATTTGGTGAAGTACATCCCACACTGGATAAAAATGAGATCCGTCTTCTTTTATCTTTTGCGTGGGGGCATGATTTTGTTTGTGAAAAAGTGCCACAGTATTTCGACTCCGGCTTCTGGAGTAAGTATTTGCCATAGCGGAAAACCGCCTCCGGACAACCTCTGCTACGCCATTACCTTGATTGGAGGGAGAGAGGGACAAACTGGAGAAAGTCACTCACCTTAACCACGAGCGGGACTGATGGAGGGGATGTCGACATCTGTGACACGGTCGGATTTGAGGGCAGCATGGGTGACGCCTCGTCCGGATCGTCGGGTTCAGGTTGGGCCAACCTGTGAGGTGGGAATTAAAAATTTCGAATCACTCAAAATTCCATTTAATACAAACTGTTCTTAATCACCTGGCAATCGTCGACTGCTTGTTTTTCGTCGTCATTGCGACACTTTTCAGTAAATCGTCCGTCCCTTCGTCGTCCGTTGCTTTCTTGTCGTTTCCGTTGTTCGTGCTGCGCGTCCAAAATCTCTCTCTCATCTCAGTCAAATATGGACAACGCTGCATTCCTGGAATCAAAAATCAAATCCAGCAGGTGTGGTGAGTGAGTGGTAATAAACAAGAATTCAATAAAATTTATAGAGACGCACATGCAGCGGATAAATCGAATTTGTAAGCTCGGGAGAAATTTATATGAATCAGACAGTGGCCGCGGAAGCCGTGGGGACATTAACAGGCGAGGGACGGGTTTATATAAGATGGGGAGATGATGCCAACATCGAATATCCGTGGGGACATTTTCCCTCACTTCCGCGGCCACTCGAATCAGACACGATTTACACATACAGATCGAAATCTTTTAAATTTTAAGGCAAGACTCGACCCACGAATAAAATAAAATGAAAAACTCGCCTAAATTGATTGGATATCAAAACAAGATGCGAGGGCGAACTGTTTAAGTGGAACGACATGACGATGACGATGCTACGCTTGCACATCGACCACGAGGACACACACAAGTCAGACAAAGCCATAATAATAACAATAATATGATTTTGCATTTATGGTCAAAGGATGACACCAACATTGCCATGTGCAGTAAACCATTGCAATTGTGCAGCAGCAGGTCGAGCTAAAGCACTAACGGTGCATGAAGACACATCTTTTTGACAATTGTGCAATGCACCAGTCCTTCAATGTAAAGTAATAATTACGATTGATTGACAAGTTGGAATTGATGTGAAGGGTGTCTCGGTTAGAAGTGAACGATTCAAAAAGTGCATTTATTTATTACTATCATTTTGTAAATAAATGGTAATAAAAATACAAATTCAGGAGTGGCTGAAAAGCAAACTGTGGGTTTTGATTTGAAGAGGCATTGAAATAAATGGGCTTTTTGCAATGTTTACCTACATCTAATGTATGTATGTACCGTTTATTCAGCTTTGCTTGCTTGAGGCAAAAAGTTGTGTTTTTCGAAGAAAACATGAAACAACGCATGTCCAGTGGTGTATGTATTTCCTCATAATTGATCCCATCATTTTATAAATAAAAGACAAAACAGGGTAATTTTGAGAAAATCCATTTCATGATATTTCGAGCAGTGGCCACGGAAGGTGGGGGGGCGACATTAACGTTGTAGGATTAAGGGGAGGGACGGGTTTGTATAAGATATGCGGACATCGAGCAACCGTGGGAACATTGTCCCTCTGTCCACACCCTTCGGCGGCCACTGATTCGGAGAACACACGGACAACGCTTTTAACTCTGACAAATTGTGCCTGTGAAGGAAGGGCATCAAATAATAACAATAACACTGACTGAAGAGTCGTTCCAATCGATTATTTCTTGTCCAATCTTCCACTTGACACCCGTTACGTTAGGTTACGAGACGATCTAAACGGCCAAGTTCTTCTAACTAACTAACTATACTTCCCAAAATGGTAATTGAACCCTCCATCCAAAGTCAATAGCCTGCTCGCACCTTGTAAATTTCTTCGTCATGATCAATTAGCAAGTCTTTAATTGCAAATATCGACTGAAAAGGAAGTAGCAGCAGCAGATGGAGGAAAGCCCAATTCTTATTCAATCCAGCAACCCCTTCCACTCGAAGTTTAGTACGTAATGAACGTTTAGTTTAATTTGCACTCGACTCAAACATCACTTTAAAGCTCAATTAAATTTGTGAAAAGTGTGTCAACATTTATATTTCATTAAGAACACACATTTCATGCGAGGAGGGGAAGATTGAGTGAGTGAATGGCGTGAATATTAAAGTTCAGTTCAGCTCGATTACGGAACGGGGTCGAGAATTTAAGAATGTCACGACGACGAGGAGGAAAAAGAGGATCAACAAATCTAAACTTTTCGTTTTCTCCGCTTTATTCCTTGGTCGATACAGTTTATCTGGGCTGGGCGAATTTCTACAATTTTCGCATACGCGTCGTCGTGGTCGTGGTCAGCTCCTTGCTGAATTTTGTGTTTGTATTGGATTTACTCAGGGGCCGCGGAAGCGTGTGGACAATGTCCCCACGGTTGTTCGGTGTCCCCATCTTATATAAACCCGGCCCTCCCCCATTCTCCAATGTTAATGTCCCCACAGCTTCCGCGGTCACTGTACTTATTTACTGCACACACAAAAACCCTGTTGAACGCATGTATGTATGCATGAGTCTGAACGGGGAATTTATGTGCAGAAATTTGTGTGCGGAATAGAACCTTTCTCACCCAGGGCGGATAACGACAACAATAACGACATGACAACAATGGGGAGTAACAATGCACGCAGAATAATATGTATACATGACAAATATTTGTATGCAAGCAAACATGCAAGCACAATAATACCTGCACTTCTGCAGACGCGCCGAGGAATTTATCGCTCGTCAAGTATTAATACCAAATTTGTTTGAAATTTGTCAACCCAGATTTCCATAACGAACACAATTTTGTAAAAAATTGTAGTATATAGGAAACTGAACCCGATTCCAGCACCACATAAGCACTACACACACGCAACACTCCACTCCTGTACTCGAAATTGAGACGACTTGTTCTCCCCTGTTGCACCAGCAGCAGGTTGTTGCAGCAGAAATAATGCAGAAATAGTGACCCACACGATCACCACACCACACCACCCACCCCACTACCTACTTGATTATCTTTTTTTTATCTCAATTAGTCAAACAGTACACCAACCAGCAGGAACGTCAGTCACTCACTCACTAACTCACTGCCCGTATTCGATTCTCGATTTCAAAACCATGCGAACAGCACAGCACAAATTGTCAAAAACAACGACTCCACTCCACTCCACTCCACAACCGACCTGGGCAAACAAAAGGGGGAAACTGACAAAGGTTGTTGTTGTGTCCATTTCTCAAATACGGTCTGCTCCCAGCCAACAACATACACAACATAGAGCCAATTCACCACCACCACTACTTCTCATAATAATACAGGTCGACAGAGTACCGTGGTAAAATGAATACTGCCACGAAAAACAGAAGCGTCCCTCCACACATACTGTCTGACATGACCACCAACCACCACTGCTTTTCCAACTATCTACTCCATCGCGTACGACCAGATCACGCAATGCAATACCGATTTCGATAGAAAAACCCAATTTGGTCGGGAGACGCATTTATTTGGTAGTGTCGTCTCCCTCCCTCCCGTAAATTTCATAAGAGAAAAGTGCTCTATGGTTAAATGGGGTCGACTAGGAAAGCGACGCAACCTGTCCAAGACATCCCCTCATTACGCGTCCGCTGCAATTCAATTACATATTCGTCTCGAAGGCGAGGCAGGTTTGGAGCAGTCTCGCCTTGGAGGATAAGTACGCGCTACGGAACCCGTGTAGGGTCGTGGGAGGGGTTCGGCGAAGTAAAAATGGTTCAAAACTTGGCTTCTTTTCAACCCATTGGGTACGGTGATGATGGGAGAAAAGCCTGGAATCGGGTAGAACGCGCTGGTTCGCTTGGGCCTCTCTTTGCTCATTATGTTACCGTCCCAGGTAAGTAATGCAATATTAATTCGGCGTGACTACTCAATTCCGCGCTTTCTCCGGCTTCTGCTTCGAGGGGTGCTTTCGTATCAATCAGAAACTCACAGGCACAAGTAAGTATTATTTAGAAACAAAGTTTGCTTTACAGTTCGTTCCCCTTTTCTCGGTTCGAATTTTCTGTCTGGAGGGAATTATAACATGGCGTGGCACTCGTCGAAATTAAATAAGGACAGAATTATATTTACTGTTTACTGCGTTTTCGCTCTTTCTCTTTCGTTATGACAAGTTTATAATGTCCTCCAGCTCACAAAATGAAGGCAACATTTCTGTATTTCGTTCTCAGGTAACCAGTTGTATTTAGTAGCGTTGGTTGGTCGAATAACAATAATACTTAGGAACTTAGGATCCTCTTAATAGTGCAGATTGGCCTTAAACTAAGCAGGTACTCGGATCAGAGAGTCAGGTACTACTGAAGGTACGTCAGTAAGTAAGTAAGGTACGATGTTGCTGCTGATAATTAAAGCCTGGAGAAGCAGCTTAATTTGAGACCTGAACGATCAGGGATGACGATGATTCCGTCGAGGTAGCTATTTTATAACTGCGCAACGTTTAGAAATTTCGCCCAAGGTTATACATCTTGGACTGGAGGTATTATGTATCATGAAAATCTCACCCTCCTGACAACCCACCTGCCAACGAAATGAATAGAATTCTGAGAGAGGAAATCCAACTTTAAAAATTGTACGGCTTCGAAATCGAAATTGAATTTCGTTGAATTTCCGCCTCAAAGTTTTGTTTACTTGGAATGAAATCCAATAATCTTTTGGAAATGATTAATTCCTGACATTCGACACCTTTTGGATCAAAGCGGCATTCAACTTGCGCCATAGTTGGCACTGTGGGCAGTGGCCGCGGAGGAAGGTGTGGGGGCATTAACATCGTAGGATAGGGGGGAAGGGCTGGGTTTATATAAGATGATGCCGACATCGAACAACCCTGGGGACATTGTCCCCTCACACTTCCGCGGCCACTGACTCCGAGTGAAGTATAACACGTCGTATAACACTGCTAATTAAGCTACTTAGTCGTTCATTTGTTCACAAGGTCTCCGTTCCGTGGGCTTAATGAAACTTCAAAGATAGATATTTTGCACTCTGATACGCACAGGCTTTTCATCTTTTCTTGGACTTTACTTGTTGCTACGTACGAACATCCAGCTTATTTCCCCATCCTGTCAAGAAACCTGTGGCGTCGTAGCCCCCACACGACCACCACCACCACCACCACCACCACCTATTCAGAAGGGATCAAAGACAAAAGTTCGGCACACATGAATGCCTGAAAGGATCGCCAACAATGACATCTCCAGCCACCAAATGAGAAACCAATTACATCCTCCTGTGTGCGCACATCGCTCTTTTCGTGGTCTGGTCGTACGTAATTAATAATCCTGAGAAAGTAGCAGAAGCATATTGGTTTTGTTACTTGTTTGTGTCACACGGGTACTAAATTATTTTCAGCTTTTACGCAATATCTCCCAATTTTCGGGTATATCAAAAAATG